GCCGAGGTCCAAACCATTCATCTTTGGCCGGTTCGAAGGGCCTCGTTTTAGGTTTTCGGTTTTCAGTTTTCGGTTTCGGCTGGTCATTTGTTGGGTTGGCGTGTTGCTTATCCCGACGATTCTGTTTGAAAATTTCCAACGAAATGCTGGAAATGCTACGGCAAAACAGGACTCAACATGCAGAGTTTATAGGTATTTTAATTAGTTGAAATTTCTCGGTGGCTGTGGGTCTGGGAATGAGGTGAAAAGGGGAAGACAAGGGGAATCAAGGGACCACCTAGGCAACGAATGTCTGGCCTATGTAAACATAACTCTGGGCCCCAAATGAGCAGCTCGTATATCTTTCGTGCTCCCTACCAAATTGATTAAAACCTAATGAAGCTTAATAAGCCCGAAAATCCTCCATAAATGAAGCGATTACTCTAAAGCAATCTCATTTGAGGATTACGATCTTCCAATGAATGAGGTATTCAATTTTCCAGAAACCACAATAAAAATCTCAGCCATGCACCGAACTAAAATTAAAACGTCGACTTAAGCCGCGAACGAGAAGGGCGACATTTATCCGGACAGTGACAAGTGTCCAACCCCGCAGATGAGCAGATCCTCTTCGGATTTTGATTTTTATTTCGGTTTCGGAGGGGTTATTGTTTGTTTAATTGCGGGCAAGTTGGGCAGCAGGGCGGTGTAAACTTGAAAATTGTAACAGCAAAAATGATAAATGATTCGCGCGGTTAACCCTCCACTTGCACAGCTGTTGGTTTCCACTTCCTCTATGCGATGCGATGCCAGTGCGTAACATTTGCCGCAAATCAAAGGCAAACCGCTGATGACACGGCGGCGGTGGTGGTGGTTGGGATTGGGATTGGGATTGGGTTTGGGTCTGGGTGCTTAGGAGGTGGTGGTTTAGGTGGCCGGGCTGCCTTGGGTGCACTTACAGCCACGAAAATGTAATAAAAACGTGCGTCTTCACTTCATGTAAATCATGTCAGGCGGCGGCGAGTAGCGCGAAATATTTACCCGGCACGGAGAAAAAATTTACATAATTTTTAACTTAACCCTAATAAAGCAATATGTTGTATAGTGATCTACAACATTGTACCTTTAATGATTTAAGCACTATATACAAGGAAATAATTTTTATAATATTATAATCTTCAATTTCTGAGGAAGTCAAATGTCATTTAAACATTCCATCTACTAAATAATATTTATATTTTTTGTTGTAAGTAGTTGCTTAAAAAGTTACCCATTCATTTACCAATTTATTTCCCTAATTGAAAATAGATACTGTACACCATCCAATTTTATAATTCTGAAATAGAAGATTTAAATCCACTAGTTTCAAAAATCTCCTTAGTTTAAATTGAACCCAGTAATATATTATCGTATTATATTTTAAAATGACTCTGCAGTCAAGAACATATTTTCTAGACATTAAGGAATATTTCTCAGTGAAGCACAATAGCTTGTAGATCAAAATAACTTCCCTATAAATACAGATTTTCCCCAGTGTGATGATGCTGCAGTGCAAGTAACATAGCAGCCGCGGCACAAATGAGGAGCACGGCATGGAGATCATCCTGACCGCAGTGCGATCGCAATCGCCAAATGGAAGGCAAGGTGTCCCATTCGGAGCTGGAGATGGAGATGGAGTTGCAGTCGGTCCAGGGCGTCTCTGCATCGCCTGGGATACCTGGTATTGGGTACTGGGTACTGGGTGCTGCGACTGGTCTACTGTCTACTGGCGGTGGCGTGAACGTGCAAACATGTTGCACATGAGAGAGGCTGCCGCTAAAGTACTTGTACTTGTCATATTGTTATGGATTTATGGCAAACACGTATAGCGCTATAAAAATGACATATGCACGTGTATGGGTTAAAGTATGGGCTCGATATGAGGACTCCTTGCCTTACCTTAACCCTTCCCTCCCCATCCCTGTCATCGCAATCGCAATGGAAATCGCAATATCAGTGGTTAACAGTTGCACATCTTGGCGAAAGACATGAGCACGCGCAGCCATCTCGATTGCTCGCTCGCGTCGGCGCAATCGAAACTCAACCCTCCCCGATTTCCGATCCCTATATATCTTTTCATATCTCTTTTTTCATCCCCCTCCCATTGCCGCTAATTAATCGCCTTTGTTCGTGTCATAATGCGATGCGTTCGAAACATGTTTGCCTTACTGATTTTGCAATTGGATTTTGTTTTCGGATCGCCTAGGGGTGGATTTTTCGGGTTAAATGAGGCGTACCTCTATTATTTTCCTCCTCGTCGAGTGAACATGTGTGAAGTTCACAAGTGCCTTGATTTTTTTCGGGTAAGGTGGTACAAATTGCCGGGTCGGGTCAGGTGGCCACATTGATGGATGGTACGCAGTGAAAAGTCTGTTGATTACACAACCGAAAGTGGTAAGTTTTAAAAGTCCGGGGATGACAGAAGGACGTGTTCTCAGCTCCTATCGATCGATCAACGAGGATATCCCTTTAAAATGTTCTATAAATAAAATCTTTTCTAGATCAAATATTTAAAATATGATGATCATCAGCACTAAGTTCAAGTATTAAACAATAACAAATATTTTAAGCTAAGAACTAAAAGATTTATCCCCCATTTTTAAAATCTTAACATTAATCAGAACATAAATCCTTATAAAAGCGGTTAATTTCATTCTCTCATGAATTTATTTCACAACTTAAAAAATCTTATGCTATCGAAAGATTAACTAGAGGTAAATAAGCCAAGATGGTAATTGTTTCCCCAACCCTTAGTCTTATCAACCAAATCCATTTATTTTAATAAAATCAGATTATTTTCTTAAAGTTCAGCAACCCCTATTTTGTACAGAATTTCTTATCCGCTCAGTACTTAGCTTAATAGTGCGAAGTGCCATTTAGGCTAACACTCGCAGATCTTTAAAGCAAATATGGCAATCGCTTTTGGGAAAACTGCTGCCCCCGCTGAACCCAGTTTCAATTCCCAGTCCCTCGGCTCAAGTGTTCTCCCAAGTATCCGTAACTTCTCGCCAAATATACGGCCCATAAATCTCGTGACCCAGCACAGTGCCAATAAAAGCCTTCATAAACAACTAACCTAAGGCAATGATTCTGCAGGCTAAGGGCGGCCACTCGGCAGTAACCACTAACCAAAAACCACTAACCGCAAACCGCCACCGCTGCACCACAGTAAAAAATTAAATAAAAAGAAAAACGAGGAGGCGGAAAAAACACTTGAAAAATCTGTCATAAAATGTTGAGTGGTGTAAAACCAACTGGTTGAAATTGCCAACATATTTGCCTGTTTGTTTAATGAACTCGCCCAACTGGTCGACGGGCGACGGGGGTTTGAGGTTTTGAGGGTTTGAGGGGGTGACCCTTCTTCAAGAGGGTGGGTTCAACATTTTGATTACTCAATATGCTTGATTTTATGGATTTGTGCCACCGCTCTGGACCACTTCTGCAGCTGTTCCATGTGGCAGAAAAAATCGAAAGATAGAAAGAAAACGAAAGCTAATCCCAACAAAGAAATGTCATTAAACCCGAACAAGTGTCCAACAAACCGCCAACACAAAGTTACAGTCCCCCCGAAAAAAAAAATTATGAGAGACCCGCACAAAGACACCTGTAAGACGTTGTCTGCTATTAGTTGAAATCAAAACGAAAACAATGTAAACCACAGTGAGCAAAAATAATATCTCTGGGGAGCCCAGATCTCTAGAGGCCGAAGTATACCGACCACCAACGCAAAGCTGGTCGTCGCCTTTTAGCCAATTTTGATATAACTGAAAGCGTCAATTATACGTGAAATTTATGATGCCGTGTGAAGAATAACACCAACTTGCAACATATTTGGACAACGTGGCCGTTGCCATTGCCGTTTGGCTTTGCCGTCTCGGTGGCCCGTACAATTGCCGCTCTGGGGTCTCTTGTCGCAGATATGTAAGCTGATAATGGGCATTGTAGTGCAGTTTTTCTTCTTTTTTCCCCGAGTTTTTTCCTTTTCTCTGGCCGGGACAGAAAAGATGACAAAGGAGCTGCTGGGGAGGCCGCTGCCCAGCACCAGTACGCCCACCATAAAGAGGTTGGAGCAACCCAAATGGCCACGGGAGAAGACTGGAGAAGACTAGAGAAGACATTTTGGGCACACACCAAGTCAATTTGTTTTATCTATTGTCGAACAAGAGTCATGTCACAACGGCACAATGAGATTTACTATGTGTTGTTGCAGCTTGTTGCAGTTGTGGCAGCTTGTTGTTGTAGTGGGCAGACCAGACAATGGAAAATCAGCAACATGATTCGATATTTAGATATGCGCCTCAAGAAATATGAGCCGCTAACAACAACAGCGGCAGCAGCAACAACAAAGATGCTGCCGCTTGTCTTGTTGGCCGCATGTAATTGCCAAGTTTGTTGCTTAAGTCTTTTGTTTTGGCTGCGCTGATAGGCCAGTTGCATTTAAATTTGATTTATACACTTTCGGCCAGCAGATAATTGGATGGAAGTCGCCGCTCTGTCTGTGGGGTTTAATAATTGGCTAGGTTATATTTTTTGTAGACCTGGTTCCCAGCCCAAAAAACATATATATTGTGGGAGAGTTCCTTACGATTAGGTGTTAATTGCCAGTCCCTTTTGGGTCTACTATATCTAGAGCAACTGAATGCACTCCTATGGACATAATTAAGTTGGAATCGTAAAAAAAACAGCAGCTCTAAGCCTCGGGCGCGCATGCGTGCAGCAGCCGAAGCGGCAGCAACTCCATTAACTGCCGATTCCGATTCAGATTCAGATTCCGGGCCCCGGGGCTATATACACGGCGTACGACCAATCAGCGGCTGGCTAAAGAGCACTGCCCGAAGAGCAAACTGGTTTTCGCCAAAGAGAAAACAGAGCGGAGAGCAGCGGTACGAGTTAAGCTCTGGGGATCTCGAATCGGATCTTGGGAACCTTATGCCCAGAGGCAATCAGTCGTTAGTCGAGGCCTGAAGCGCACGCAGCACTCAGCGGAAGTCGTTGCCACCACTTTTTCGAAGCGCTTTCGGTGGTTCAGTTCAGTTCAGTATAGTTCAGTTCGGTTCAGTTCCCAACGAGCTATAGGGGTTCTCTTAAGACCTGGGAGACCACCACCAACATAGCTCTCTCGCGTGACTTGCTCCGCCCCGTGGATGCTGCTCGAGGGCTGGAAATGCCGCAGGATTCGGTTAACGCGTTTAGTCGAGCGCCGTGCTTCGAGCGGTGATGAGCCCCCTTTCTGCCAACGGTAAACCCAAATATGGATTATTGTGAGCCCGAACCCGAACCCGAACCCAAACCCAAACAATTGTGAAAGTGTTAAATGTGCCGCAATCGAATTAAATTGCTTGCTGATTACAACAAATGATGAGATGAAGAGCAATCAACTGAAATGCTCGGTGGAAGAAAAGCAAATCGAAAGATCGACAATCAGCCGACATTTTCTGTGTGTGTTTTCTGTGATTAATTCCTGAGCCCCACATATCTATATAGTGTGTGAGCAGAAAAAAACGGAAATACCTTTCAATTAAATACAATACAATACCTTAATATATCAAAATACAATGCCGTAAAAAATTGTGTTTAATCAAAGGCGAAGGAAAAAGTAAAAGTGCAAACAATGTGAATATGCGAATATACGAGTGCCCCATTCCGGGGAATCGGTGGCCACAGTGCGCTCCATTGATAACGCACACAGACGGCACAGGGACACAAACATAGCACGAACACAGGCTACGAAGTGGAATTGAAACATGCAAAGTGAAAGAGAGAAAGAATGAAAACAGCCAACTAGTTCATAATGCGCGGAGATAATACAAATAATAATAATGGGGACACGGAAAGAAAATTTTAAGAGCACTATGTGAATTTTATTATAACTGAGACATAAGGAAAAGGTTCTTAAAAGTGCAAAATATAACAAAAAAAGTGTTTTTAGTCATTAAAAAAATATTCGGGCATCGTAACAATACAATTTATAGGAAGCATTTATAAGAATCAAATAAAGATCAATCCATATTTTCGTTTTGTGCAGAGGGAGAAATGCGAGATAGTGAAATCAGTAGGGTTCTGAATGGGTGGTACGAGCTTGGGAAAGCCCCCTATGAAGAGAGCGATGAAAATGCCTCATGCGATGCCTCACATTTAACGATTTACCATATGCTTACGGAATTATGGATTTAGCACGGTCCAAAGAATATTCGTAACTAATTCAACAATTACTTGATAAATCAGAGTATATCAAGAAATAGTACTATTAAAAAGCAAATACTGGCTATAGGGTATGTTATAGTTTCGAGGCCTCCAGCAGTTTATGCATTGTTTTGCAAATTGCCCAGTGAAAGTACAGAGAGTCAGGGGAAGGGAAGGTGCATAGCTGCATCATCCACTTGCAAAAGCCACTTCCGGTCATGCCCTGCAGCAGCAGCATGAGCAAAGCATCGGCAGCATCTGGGTTTCGATTCAAAGTCAACGACTTCCGTTTCATGCCAGAGCCGGGAGGAGGCCCCCAAGCAAATTACTTAATTAAATGGACAATTAACACCCGAGCAGGAGGAACCAGGGCGGGATGAGGGGCCAAAGGCCACTGGAAAGGGTACGGGGGGTTTGGAATGAGTAATGTGGGCAAGAGTGAAAATATCTGTAAATTAATATGCGCACAAGATGCAAATTGTTTGTGGCCAAAGACACGGCTCCATGGCTTCAGAGGCGTCAGAGGCAGCAAATGCAGCAGCAACCAGCAGTAACAGCGTTAAATTAACATAAATTGAATTGCATTTGCATTTGCTGCACGTTGCCGCTTTTTGCTGCTCTCTGCGGTCTGGCAAAAGTAAATGTTGCTGCGGTTGCTGGCGGCACTTGTTGCTGCGGTTGCTGCTGCTGTTGCTGCTGCAGCGGCGATGTTGCTACTGCAACTGCAACTGGAACTGCGTGTCAATTAGCTTAGTTGATGATGCACAGTGAAATAGATTTCCCGGCAGCCCGTTTCAATTCCATTTCGTTCGACAATTGTTACAGCCACATCTACAAAACATCATCGCCCATTATCAAGTGGAAGTGTTTTAAGTGTGAACAAAACAAACGAGAAAAGTACATGCTAGAAGTCCATACATATAAATAATAAATAATTGTGTGATAACAACATTAACAAATCAACAAAAAAAAAGGGAAGGCAGAGTGGAGAAAAATGATACAGTTTCCAGAAAACAAATACCAGTGCCACCCAGAACAAGTGTAGTGCATGAAAACTTAGACAAAGGCACTAAAATCTGCATACATGGGCTAATTAAGGCTGCCCCAGAGCGACGAATTTACATTTTTGTGCGGTGCCAATACAAAGTGAATCCGAAACAAACTCCATCTGGATCCAGAGATCCCCCCGCACCACCAGCATCCCCAGAATGTACAAAATGTTTAGGAAACATTTTCGGCGAAAACCAACATCGTCGGCGGAATCAACAATAGAATCGACAGCAGACAGCCTGAGAATGCCCCAAAAGACGGCGACAAAAAGGCAGCGTCCGAGGCACCGGGAACCCAAAATCGCTGCCCTGCCATCGACGATCCGCGATTGTCGATCATTAAAGTCTGCCTGCAACTTAATTGCTTTAATTTTAATACTGTTAGTCCATAAGGTAAGCAAACCGACATGCAAAAAAGATCGATCCCAAGCAATAATCGAAAAGAGCCCCAGATCCAAATACATGCGGGTGTAGTGTCTCGGAAGAAACAAAAAACCCAAAAAAAACTAAAAATACAAAGTTGATTCAACCCATGTGAATTGGCAATAGCTGAGGGCAAAGTTTTGATGGGGGACGTAAATAATGATGATTTGGGTTTATTTTGGAGTGATTTATCAACTCGGCATCCAAAAGAGTTTTGTTTAATGAGAGCTTTTACGCTGGAATTTTCGCAAAGCAGTAAATCAAAATTAAGTCAATATATGGACCTATAAAGGAATGAAAGGGTTTTTAATTTTTATTAAATTTTTCAAAATTTTTAAAGACTGAAATAAAAAACGGACAATATATTCAGGAAATGTATTACATAATAATATCAGAAAACCTTTTGACAATATGATATGCAATACATTTTAAAGCACTTCTTAATAAGCTTACAAGATCTTCTTCTTTGAAAATTAAGTTGTTAACTTGAGTTTTACCATGCACAAGAGCCATCAATTTTCCAGCAATTTGATACCTGCACTTACTCAAAATATTCCGCAAGCTTGAAACATTAAACTGGTATTTAAATAAAGTCATTGGGTTCTCAAAAAAGCCTCCGAGCAAGAATTCCGGGCAAAGGTTTAATAGGATCCCGGTATCGAGGACCCCTCTCGAAAAGTGATTCCCCTGATAAGTGGGCCGTTCTATCTCCGAAAACCATCTCTCCGAAATGGTTCCCACATAGAAACAGTAGGCGAGAGTCGCCGGAGTCTTCGACTTTTAGACTTTTCGGGGTGTAGCCGTCATAAAGTGTTACACAAAGTGCCTAAACATGTATTGAGATGCCAGCGGAGATGCCCCGAGCGGCAATTAAACAGGCAAAGAGGCGAAAAGAGTTGGAGAAGAAGAACGGCAGCCAACGGTTCAGAAATACATAAAAATTAATCGTTGGCTGGGAAGTTATAGGGAGCTCTAGAAGAGGGGGTCTCTCGAGGGGCCTTAACAACAATTTGATTAATACGCCCGTGATCTCGAGAGCCAGACATTAGAATCTGAATCCGAGGAGCATGCGAGTCCCCAGAACAAGAAGACTATCCCGAGATGCCGACCGTGGGGCAATCAAATTGATTACACACATTTATCTACTTGGAAGAGGGGGTTCGGATGGGATTGGGAATGGGAATGGGATTGCATTGATTTAGGGTAAGCGAGGCGATAAAAGTCGCCGGCAGCAGTGGTCCAGTGGTCCAGCGGTCCCACTGCAACTATTTAGTTGTTAATGAAGTAAATAAAAGTTAAATATTTTGTAGCGGCGATTTATGGCCGACTTCCAGGGAAAAGCAGGCAAAGCAACCAGTCAGTTGCGATAATATCGCTTCGGTTCACATGGGCTCATGCCCATGTCAGTTGAAATTAACCCAGTTACTCGGCCAAGTCGGGATGCCAAAAAAAGGGAGCCAGAGAAGATCTCTCTCATTTGAGCTGACATTTATTGATCATAAGCTGCGTATTAAACGGACTGCGAAATATGCATAAAGTCAGAAATATGCCCAAAATCAGGAATGAGTTGGCGAAACGAGCTCCCACGTTGCAGGCCAAGTTAATGGCCCTGCCAACTGCAGGCTTAATTAAAATTTAATTTCACATTAAATCCGAATGTCGGCTTCATTAAGCGTTCCCCATTTCCCAAACCCCATCCATGTAAAACATGTGGCGCCGCAGCACTAATTCCTTAAGCATTTCTGGTGGTTTATCTAATCGAATTGATTACGTCAAAGTTTGTCCGGAATATTAGCGGATGCACCTGCCCGAAGAAATGTGATAAATAAATAGTAAGCAGAACGAACCGGTTCTCGATCGACCAACGACCATCGACCATCGACGGTTAAGAATCCAATCAGTTTGAGGTCCCAGTAGAAGCCGAGCTCGAAGTCTCGTCTCAGAGATCCAAACAAAAGGAAATCTCGAGAAAACGCCAAGAGAAACCGACACACAAACTGGTCGAAACGCGGGGCTCGGAGGGACTTGCATTTGATTGATCTATGGCATGATCAACAATGCATGTGGCTTCAAGTTTGGTTTTTTGTCGGCCTGTTATTTTTACTTTTTTGAGGCTCTATCTGCAGCACCTGCAGCTCGAAAACTGGCCAGTGCCGTTAGCCAAGATCCCGAGCTAAATTGCAATTTATTTCTAATAAACTTATCAACACTGCCAGCTACCAAAGACCATGACAATAAATTCACTGAAATATGAAACCATAAAAGCAGGAGTCCCGAGATGGCCAAGAGTTTTCATTAGCATATTTTCCGCGAAGCAGAACCCATCTAGCCGCCTGGTAATGAACCCTAAAATACAAAGTTGATGGTCAAGATGCAGCTTCCACTTCCAGAGGCTACAGTAGAATCCAGCCAGCTCCTTTGGCTAAATTATGATAAGCGATTTGCCGGTGAATAGTTAAACTTTACTGGCCATTTGTCAGTGGAAGCGTTTTCGAGTGGTAAAGAAAGATCGGCGATCTAATGTGTTATTAATTTTATGGCAAATGCTCCTATCGATGGACCCCTGATTTGTGGCCACTTTGGGGGCTACGGCCACAAAGGCATTCTAAATTATACAAGCGGCTGGATACCTCGTTTTGATTAAGTGAGCCGAACCGAAACAGTTAAGCCGCTTTTGCAGGGGGGAAAATATTTCTCATTATTTTCGTGTTTCATTTGCTGCCAGATTTATCAGGCTCCTTTCATTTGCCTACCACTTTGGGTCTGGGTCTTCTGATTTTCCTCTCTTGTATCGATCTATCTATTTTGGTTTTTAATTAAAACCTCTACCGCAGCCCAATCAGAGCGCCCTAGGTGGCTTATTAGCTTTTACAACCAGCGAACGAGCTGGGATCAGATCCATAAAGTGTTGAGCATATTATTCGATTTGGAATGTAAGCTGTGGGGTGGGGGATATACTATAGAAAGAGGGTACTGGGAATCACTGGGGTTTTTTGGGGGGGCTTCGTTATGGGTCATGATTGATTTGAACGATTTGAGATCTGGGCGCTTGTCTTCGATGGAATACGATGATGTACTGGCAGTTTCGTTAATTTTGTTCATGTTCTCCACTTCCACCACAGATATCCGCAGCTGGTAACTTCGAGCTGGAAATATTAGAAATCTCAAATACCAACAGCCATCTTCTCAACGGCTATTGCTGCGGCATGCCGGCGGAACTAAGGGCCACCAAGACGATAGGTAAGTCCAAGTCCGAGTTTTCTAAGCCCCAACTGCGAGATGTATGACTTTTTATGGCATTTGGCGTGTCAAAAAAAGTTAAGGCCTCGTAAAAAGTTCAGTGTTGTTCTTATTTTATTGTGACCTATAAAATAGTTACAAGTTACATTTTTACAGTTGTTAAAGATTTAAATATTCAATTACTTAATATTTTTTTATTTTTAGATACAATTTTTTATTCAAATTTACCTAAAATAAAGTCTTATTACCATTAGTATTTCCATTATTAGTAACAATGATCAAAGCTTAACAAGAACTATTTGGCAGTTCCAAAAGTATGAACGGTTCCTTTTTGTTTCAAAGTATCTTACAAATATTCTAATCAAACCTCCATAATATTAAAACATAATGCAAAATTCCTAAGCTGCCAGATATTCTCCTTGGAATCCATCCGGGTTCTTAAGTTCTCTGATATTTCCTATCTTGCTCACCCGAAATAGACGGTCAAGGCTCTTTGCCTATCAGCAGAATTTGCACTCTGCAAATTTTTTTGCGCTCGTACTAATGAATTCCCTCTTGTTTTTAACGATGCCCGACAATTATGCAATCTTTCTGCATGTCTATAGTATAAAGTGTGATAACCCGTGCTGGAACTCTAATTTCAGGCTGCTCGCCATGCACGACGGCATTCCGGCTGTGTTTGAAGGAGTACCAGACCACGGAGCAGGGCGCCAGCATATCCACGGGCTGCTCGTTCGGCAACGCCACCACCAAGATACTGGGTGGATCCAGCTTTGTGCTCAGCGATCCGGGTGTGGGAGCCATTGTGCTGCCCTTTACGTTTCGATGGACGGTAAGTGCACCAGTTCCCATTAACCATAAACCATATACCATATATTATACCATGCTCCCATAGTAAGACGCACGCTTTTGGCACGAGCTCTCTTCTTTTTTCCCCATCGTCGTCGTTGTTGTGTGTGGGGAGGGAGCTTTCATTATTGTTTTTCGACTTTAGATAGCTCGGTTCCGCCTGGAGAGCAGCCGAGCTGAACTGAACGCTCATGGGCGATAAGGTCGAGCCGGCAACAGAAATGTGAATGAGCCGAGAGCTCGTGCCGTATTGATAAGAATATGTATTTATGAAAGAAATGGGGAAAAAAGCCAGAGGGGCATAGTCTATGTGGGGTTTCCAAAACGGAGGAGCGATTCTCTTTACTTCCTGTGGTCAAAACTTTAAGATTCCCCAAAATCAAGGGGCGTGAAAATTCCAAGGCCAGCACCAAAAGCGGCTTACTCATTTCGACCAACTCACCTAAAACCCTTAGGAACCAACCCATCATCATCTTCTTCAGAGGAGATTCTACCCGCGGTAGCCGAAAAAAGCAATTAAAAACTGTGTTTCATGTTTTATACTTCTTTGCCGGGCACCTCCTAAGCGGCTTTCGGTTAATTAAGTGAGCATAATGCGGGCTTATGACTGCCAAACTGGGAAGGAATAAAAAACAGACATATACTGAAAACACATGGTCCCAGAAACGTATAAAATAGACGTGGCCTGGTCCGCTCTTAACGCGGTTAAGGTAAAAATGTAACCTGACTGGGTGTAGTCGCAGAATTGAATTAAAGTTTTGCTCTTGCTCGTTTTTTATTTCGTTGTTATGTACGGGTGTTGTTCTGGCCGTTGTTTGCTGCTGTTTTGGCGGTGTTCGAAGCTAACTTGGTTAACAATTACACGCCTTGGCCAGGTCGGTGACCAAATCCAAACTAATGCGACTGAGATCGGTAAGATAGACCACTTGCACAAAAATATGCTATTCACAACAATATACAAGTTAAATTGGGTAAAGAGATATGTACAATTGTGGTATTTCTGATAGCACCTTTTTTTGAGACTAAAATACATGTTTATGCCATGAAGAATATTGGTAATAGCTAATAATTGCTTTTTGCTTTGGGACTTTAAATAAATTAATTAACTAATGCTATTTGCATTTTTTTTACTATCTAAGTCATATTTATTGATTTTAAATTTGTGTAACATTTCTAAATAAAATACAATATGTTTTTATAAATACTTTCAAAAGTATTTTTCAAGAAAATATCTCAGATCCATTCACTTTTAATTACAGTATTACACGTACTTTAAAATGCCATTAAATTGTTAATGAAATTATGGGCTAAAGTCGTAAGAATTTTTGTAATTGAACCGCAAATTAATTTAATTATTTTTCGAGTGCAGTAGAACTTGCAGAATCGCAGTCGCAGTCGCAGTCGCCGTTGACGCCGACGTCGGCATGCGCATGCGCCGTCGTTTACATTAGGCAGGGGCGACTGTAGATGGGAAGTGTGGGGCTTGTGGGGGAGCAGGCATGCGTCAGAGCCGGGTCTTGGTCTTGGGTCTTGGTCCCAGTCTTGGGTTTGGGCTTGGGGCTTTCGTCTGGTGGTTGCCTGTTCTGTGACTCCACCAATGCCCCTCCTGGCCCCCTCCCAGAAAGCAGGCAAAGTCGTGGCCTGAAGTGCGGACAACCTGTTTCGTGGGAACATTACCTTGTCGCGCTTGTCGCTCGGCCGATGGCGATGGCGATACGTTACGCTTCGCTTTGGTTTCGCTTTAATCTTGTGCCTTTGCCAGTGCTTTTTCCCCCAGCTCCCCAGATCCCCTCGCTTCCAATTCACATGTGACTGACTCGAAAAAAAAACCCAACGAAACCCGGCAAATTCTGCATACTGCCAGCGTAATATTCGCCTGCAGACAGTCAGTCAGTTGGTCTTTTTGTGAGGCACCCTCTCAAGAAGCCTTTCACAAAACCCATGAAAATCTTCAAAAACCGAAAGACAAAAATCAAGTAAAAAGAGCTGCCGATATGGTCGCAATTGTCCCACTTTTTATTGAATGACTTCTTATGCGGCTGCTGCTGATTGAGTGAATGGCATGTTAAGACTCATAAACATGACTTAGGAAATACTTGAGGCCGGGCCTCAAGAGCACACATCATCACAAACATCATATAAGTTCGGCGGGCCTTCGATGTAACTGTCAAACACCGACTTCACCTGGGGGCCCTCTCCTTCCTCACCTGAAACATTCGAAGCCCCAAACGATTTTCACTTGACAATATTTTCCAAGTTCCAAAAGGCCTGAAGATCTGGAGTGCGCGTGCGCAGCCATTGAGCGATCTCGAGTGGTATTTGTGGTGCCTGTTCCACTTTTTGCTCAAGATCAATGAATGACTGCCCAAATAAAATAGTTTTGTATGTTGTGGGCTTTCTTGATCCATTTTGCTACCCCCACAAAAAAAGCATTTTGTTCGAGATGAAACACTTTTGGTAACCTATGGCTTCCAGTAATGAATGTGCTTGGCCCGAAGACAAGGTTCTTCAAAGTTGTGTAAACATTTCGGTGGCCAATTCGCTGACTCCAGAATTGTCTCGCTAAATGCTACTTGATTTGATTGATTTTTGAAAAAGAGAAAATAATTTTCATAAGCAAATGAATCTACCATTTTTATAAATATAGCTCAAAACCTTCTCCCATTGGCTCGCTTATGTCTGGGTTCTCGTGTTGTATGAAATCCAAAACCATCACCATTTTCAATTGATATACTTCCGCTGGCATTGCCATGTGCCATATATATCCGTATAGTCGTCAGACGGATCATGATTTTAGCTCGAGCCCGGAACAGAACCGTATATCAATGGAGATGGAAATTTGAGACAGTCAATTATGGATGGATGGATTTGCAAACTGTGTCAAGTTGTTGTCGCTGATGTTGATCCGACTGCAATTAGCCAATGTCTGCTTTGGACTGATTTAGTGTCGCGTCGCCAGGGCAATTACATGGGAATCCCCCTTCCGCTGCCCCGCCCACCGGTCCAACGACTTGGCCGCCGCCTCCCACTGCTAAATGAGCATTTCCTGGCATCCAGCGGCGGCATCCAGACATCGTCGACGTTTAATTGCTTTCTGCCCAACGAGAAATCTTCTACGACTGCCCAGCTCGGAAATTACAAAAAGAAGAAACAGCGAATCTTCAATTTTTATAGACCCATGCCAAGGCGGAGTTGGGAAAAATCAAAGAATTCTCCAGGTCGAAATTGTGAATGCTCTAGAAAATTAATAAGTGTCTGTCAGTTATTTGATTTAGTTTCTATTTCACTTTTAGGACCTTAAGATTTTGTATTCAGTTTAAAAATATTTTTTTTAAATTTCTTTTATTTTCCAAAGACCTAAAACTTTTGATCTAGTCAATATCACAAAAATCTTTAATTACAACCTTTGTCTTATAAATTGGGAAAAGTTTTTTATGACTTAACAGTTCAAACACCGTCTCAAATTATTAGAAATGTTTTATATTCTTCATTTAATTAAAAACCTTTCAGAAAGGGTATGAAAACAAAACAAATCTAAAAATCAAAGAGAACTGAGTCTGTGTTGCTTTTTCGCATTTTGTTTCGGCCAATTGCAATGCCATGGACAGCGACATGGACATGGCCAAACTGAAGTCTGTTTAGAAAGTCCGCTCCTCCTGCGTGAAATTAAAGTGTTTAGCTTTGCTTTGTTTGTTGTCTGATCGCTTTGTTCGTTGTTGGTCTCTTGGTTGGTTCGTTGTTGTTTGTTTGTTTGTCGGCCGCTGCGTTGTCTTCATTTGCATGGCGGGCAGCCTGAGATTAAACTGTCCATTAGAGTCAAACTTGAAAACTCCAAACTAAATGCCACCTTTTCCTCCTCTCTCCACGTTCAATTACAGAAGTCGTTTACGCTGATACTGCAGGCGTTGGATATGTACAACACATCCTATCCAGGTAAGTGCGGTGGCAATTGCAGACTTGTGCTCGTTACCACAGCCCCTTGTTGCAAGTTGCTAGTTGGTAGTTGCAAGTTGCACGCTGCTTGTTGCACGCTGCTCGTTATTGTTTGCCAGCCAAGCATTTGGCTTAATTAGCAAGCAAAGACGCAGAAGGTTGCACTCAGAGAAAATCAGTCATAGTAGTCATATAAAACAAGGGAACTACATCTTTATAAAGTAAAACAACTTGACTAAGTAAAAAAATATTATTTTGTTTCTGGAAGGAATAAAGCTTTTTTTAAATATCTTTTTTTTTGCTATACATTTAAAGTAATAACAAAGGATTTCAGTTTAACATACGGGTGAGGAAAAGAAACTTAAACCTTTTTAACATTATTGAAACTGTTCTCAGAAAAATTGAATATTTAGTTTATCGTCTAAAAAATATTCAAAAAATTCGTTGATACAAAAATCATATACATGGAATAGTAGCCTCTGATTTTCTCTCAGTGTGCCCTTAAGCGCCCGAAATGGTGCCAACAACTAACTAAATTCTCCTGCCCACATTCAATCTCCTCCCCAATGCCCCTGCCACCACTCCAATGGAACGCCAACGTTGATGCCACCAACAACGAATCCGAATTCGTATCCGAAAACCGACGACAACCACAACAATTGTCATTCCATGGTCGCGATGGTCTCTCCTCCAATCGTAATCCCAACTCCAAACCAAAACCCAAACCCAACCCGAATGAAATGCAGATGCAGAGAGGTTAATTGAGGAAACATCATACTCGGGCGTGATACTGCCGTCGCCGGAGTGGAAGACGCTGGACCACATCGGGCGGAACGCGCGGATCACCTACCGTGTCCGGGTGCAATGCGCCGTTACCTACTACAACACGACCTGCACGACCTTCTGCCGGCCGCGGGACGATCAGTTCGGTCACTATGCCTGCGGATCCGAGGGTCAGAAGCTCTGCCTGAACGGCTGGCAGGGCGTCAACTGCGAGGAGGCCATCTGCAAAACGGGTTGCGACCCCGTCCACGGCAAGTGCGATCGTCCAGGGGAATGCGAGTAAGTAGCTCTATCTACTGTCTACCTACCTGTTTTTCTATATTTTTTCTTTCTCTATTTTATCCATACACCTTTTGTAATTACGACCCCCCGGGCCACCCCATTTAACGATGTGATTATGACACTTTTTGCATGTGGCCAGTAAACTTTGAAGCCGGCTTAATGGCCCTGGCCTCCAAGTCGCCACTCGGTTCACCATTGACAGGCGGGCCATCCATGCCATCCATGCCATCCAAGCCAGGCTCACTCACTCGCACAGTTATAATAATGGCCAAGAGTGGTTTTCTTTTTGCGCGAGATCGGTGGCACAGAATTGGGTTCTATAGCTCACATGGGGCGCTTTTTACTGTCTTCGCTTTTTTCTTTATCGCCTCTTTTTTCGAGGCTAAATGTGTGAAATTGTTGGCAGCGTTTCTCTCAGGAAAATGCCAATCAGTCGATGGCGAATGCTGGGATGGGAAATATCCGGGGGTTAATTATACATATTGGTGGATTTAGCTAAAGTTTATGGTATACATATAAGTTAAGATCAAAAATTTCTACATAACTCAGATTTCTTAGCTTATATCACAGATAAAATGATATTATAATTCCTTGAGTGAACAAAATTGGTTTTTTTCCATCACTGCTATTCAATTTGAATGTGAATAAACTGCAACTTTCATTGCACTGATCCAATCGCTTTACTTCCCAATCAATCCGCATTCCTTATTAAATTGTTCGCACTCGGTAACTGCCCATTTGGGAGATAACCCGAGTGCTATAAAGTTGTAACCAGCCATATAATCTGCAATCAAGTGCCAGTACCAATGCGATTCCCGGCCAGAGAGCAGGCTAATCAAACGCCCGCACGATGGCCAAATGCTGATCGGGCCAGGAACTCCTCCTGGTCCTCCTTGGCCTCCCTCTCCTCCTCTTCCTTTAGCTCCTTCTACTCCGCTTTCTTGGGTAGTACTTTCAGTCCGCCCCTTTGGAGCGGTCATGCCCAGACGATGGCTACATGGAGCGACTGGCACAGCAAGAGTTTAAGACTCAAATGTACTGGAAAAAATATGAGATCATAGGGGAACTTATGTTATGAGATATATATATATATTATAGTAATCTTGGCAAACAAAATCTTCATATTTAGTGCATTTTTTTAGTATCTTAATAACCAACAAAAATTATTAACATCCTACCATCCTATTTTATTGTATTTTTGTTTAATATTTTTTATACGAATTATTATGCGTATTTATTTTAAATATCTTAAAATTTAAAATATCTTTCTCACTTTTATCAAAAGTACTCTTCATTTCTCTCCGTGCACTTCCAAGACCCCAGACCGCAGCACGAAAAAACGTTTGTGCTTCGGTTGTTCCTGTTGCAGTTGCTGTGGCAGCAGCAGCAGGAGCAGCAGCAATAGTTGTTGCAGCTGCAGCGGCAACAGTGGTTGTTGCCCGTTGTTAATGTAGCAGCGTAACACAGAATACGTGAGCCGGCGGAGCCATGATTGCATTTCTCGACTGCATCATGATGCTCTGTCAGGCATCCAATCCTCCAGTCCAGTCCATCCTCCATCTATCCACTATCCACCATCCTCCATGCTCCTCTCGTCCTGGTTCTAAATAGCAATAATTAGTGTGGCCTAGAAAACATCAAAAGTCAGCAGATTTCCGCTTCGCCGCAACAATTATAAGCCAAGAAGAAAAATTACTTTTGCTGTTTGCACGTTGCTGGCCCATTTGTTGGCCAGAAGAACCAGAGGAGCCGATTCGCAGCCAGATAACAACAGGCTGCCGTTTTAATGAAATCATAAATTACCGACATCGAACGGCGATGTCGACTATCGCCGAGCATGACGTGATGCCCGGAGCTTGTAGAGTTAGCACCTCGCCGGGCGATAACTCGATACTCCTCGATACTTGGATGCTCGGGTACTTGGATACTTGGATACCCGATGCCCCGGCAGGCTAACTTTGATCCCGCTGCACTTTGGCGTGTTGCGGCGATAAAATCGCAGTCTTTCTGTTTTTTTTTGTTGCCCCAAGCTGGAGCAGAAGTGGCCATTTGTGGCCAACTGGCTGCACTGCCACTTTAGCATTTGATGCATCAAGGCCAAAGTTCAGAGTGACCCAATTCGGTGGTTGGCCAGAGCCAAATGCGTTCCCAGGCCAAATTGAAATGTAAGGAAACACCAGACTCGAAATAGCCGGATGAATAATGGGGGAATGTTTCCCCAAGATGCAGATAACCTTCAATGTTCTCTTAGTTTTTATAGCGCCAATAAAACGAGGCATTCCTTACAAATACAATACATTTAACAGACGGTCATTAACTAGAACAGGTATTCTATTAAACTATTTTACCAGAAACAAGGGGTTTCTCGTCTAGTATCCTCATGTAAATACCAAAATATTTGGCTATCCTCAAAATAAGAATACATAAACCAGATTAAGTTTGACTAAAATAGGGGTACTATTAAGTTTTTTTAAATAAAATGGGTTTCTGTGGATTTCTTTTACATATAGTAATCAGTTTCTTTTTCAGTCTCTCCTTTCTTAGTTAAATATGTTTCCCATCTGCAGATTATGCAGATTATCTGTATGCTATCATATATTTTCTTGCAAAAAGCTCACCTTTCAGCTAGGGTCCTCTACGCCCCATTTTGTATTTGAAGTTACACTTACTCATCTTCTTTCCCAAGATGCAGATCTCAACACTCCTATTTATACCCCAACGAATGAAGATCACCTTTCGGTGAAGGTCTTCGATGCTCCATTTTGTAATCAGAGCTAAACTTATCTTTTCCCAAGCTCCCAAGAATCCTTCAACTTTGAGCTAACCTTTGGGTCCTCAATGCTTCATTTTCCAATCAGCAAGTGCGGACCCAGACTCATCACCACCATTCGATTTAATCCACAGATGCAGACCTGGCTGGCGAGGTCCGTTGTGCAACGAGTGCATGGTCTATCCCGGTTGCAAACATGGTTCCTGCAACGGCAGCGCCTGGAAATGCGTCTGCGACACCAACTGGGGTGGCATATTGTGCGACCAAGGTGAGTTACTTCGGCAATTACCGGTGGAAAGGGGGATCGGGGAGTGGGCACAGGCGTATCATCGATAATATCGATGCCGCTGCCTCGCATATGCCCACATATTTCATAGTTTCTCCACTCCACTCTGCCCCGAACAGATTTAAATTTCTGCGGCACCCATGAACCCTGCAAACACGGCGGCACCTGCGAGAATACCGCTCCGGATAAATACCGCTGCACATGCGCCGAGGGCCTCTCGGGCGAGCAGTGCGAGATCGTGGAGCACCCCTGTGCCACCAGGCCCTGCCGCAACGGCGGCACATGCACCCTCAAGGTGAGTCCCATATCCCAGATCCCAGATTTATGCACTCTTTCGCAGTGCCATAAAATAATTTAATACGCTCTGGATGGGGACCCCCCATTTGGTACTCATCTACGCTGCACTGGAAAAAACAAGTTTTCTTTTAAAAATAATTCCAAATAAGACAGGATATGGAAAAATTCCCCAAAATTAATCGAAAAGTTAATAGAAGAGCTAAAGACTAAATGGGAAAACATTATAAATGAGTCAATTTAAAATAACAATGTGGATTACTCAAAGGTGAAATTATAATTTCTTAAAAACCAGTATTCAATTCAACTTCTACGATTTCCTGATAATTTAAAATACTAATATCGATTCCTCCTATCGATGCTTAAAAAATCAATATCATATTCTTAGTTTAAGATCCTAATAATATTTCAGGAGTTCCTTAAAAATATTTGTTTAATACCTTAATGCATAACATTTTTCAGTATCATATCTAGGCAACACATATTTACTTATATTACATCTGGAACATTTTTTGACGAGTGTAATTGCTATCTTTTTAGCCGTCCAACCGACGAACGTCGACGCTCGGCAGGAGCAACATGGGCAGGCCGGTGAGTCGGCGCAACTCGATGCGCAGCCTGGATCACCTGCGTCCGGAGGGGCAGTCGCAGAATGGCAGCAGCTCCTCGGGAATGGGAATGGGACTGGGATCCCTGGGCTCCCTGCAGCTCCAGCAGCAACTGGACCCCGACTTCACTTGCGGCTGTGCAGCCGGATGGACGGGACCGACATGCGAAATAAGTGAGTTTTGATTTAATTTTATTCCGCAGCACGCGATTAGCCACAGCTCAGCCGAAAGTGGCCAGTTGGCCAAGTTGCCGCTTGGTAGTTGCTAGTTGGTAGTTGCTAGTTGCTGATGTTGCTGGTGTGCGGCGATGTTGCCGCTCGATCATGCAATTGAACACACACGCATTTGGCTGTAGCGAAATGAAATGAAGTGAAATGAAATGAAACGTAGCACGCACAGGCTGTTATTGTTGCCGGCTTTGGCTTTGGTTTTGGCTTTATTATGATTGTTGGTGCCACGGTGGTCCGAATCTGAATCCGAGCCCAAATCCGAGTTGGCCAGGCGAATTTGGTTTGCTTCGGTTTTGCATTCCAATTGGAGCACGACCGACACATTCACCAGAAACTATTTGCTGGCCATTGCAATAAGCCGTAAGCTAATTGAGTTGCCATTCCCAAAACGAATGAGTCGGCGTTGAAGGATTTACATTTTGTATGGAAAGCTCTTGCTGTTGCCAATTAAGGGCCTTCAATTGTTGGCAAGAGCTTGGGTTTATTTATGGAAATTTCAATGGCTTGATTGAAATGTTTATGGTACTTGAAGTTACATTTGATTATGGAATTTGAGTGGAACTATACTTGAAATAATCAGGAAATCATTACATAATTATAATTGTGGTAACCATCATATGAAATGCATACCTTTTTAAAATACTATAATATTTTTTAAAATGTTAATTTATTTAAGTTTCAGTTAATTAGTAACTTATCAAGAATCATATTTCTTTGGCAATCACTTTTTTAATATATTTTTTTGTATAAATCATACTCGTTTTTCACCTTTAAAGAAACCCCGATTTCGTGGGAAAATATGAAACCTTTCAACTTCCAATAATGAATTTCATAAAAGCTTAATTAAGTTAAAAGTTTCCCAAACTGCTGCTGATCGCCAATCTGACCCTATTTGCAGCTAATGGCCAGCCAAGGGTCAGAAATATATTTTTGGGGTGCCCTTCTTATCAGACCCTCCGTAAAACAAACAAATGAGTTGCGTGCTGCTGTTGAGGGAAAAAAATTGGGAAGTGGAAGGAGAAGGAAGCGTCGTCTTCTGAAGATTTCAGGCAACCGATAAGCCAGGCACGCAGGCTCAAGCTGCTTTTTTTAACCAATATCCCAATGCCCATCCAGCAGTCAGTTCAATGACTTGAGCCCGGGATAAGAGCCACCTGCTCAAGCTTCTGCTGCTCGAGAACTCAACAGCAAAATCAACACATTCACCGAGAGAAAATGAGTTCCTAAGTCAACATTAAATAATAATTAACCAAGTGGTTGTAAACCTGGAGAAAAAATGCGAAAAAGCAGCAAAAGTTTTTATATTTTAAACTAGATTTTATTTTTGTTTAATATTTTTCAAGTGTTGAGACCATAAAATATTTGCAAAACATCTTAAGATATTTTTGTTAATTTATAAATAAAATATCTTTAAACATTTAAATATGAAACTACTCAAAAATGTTTAATACATCAAACTAAATAAAGGCATACCTATTCGCTTGATTCTTAAGTCATCTTTAGGCTTTTCTTCAAGCTATTTAAATATTTAAATATTTTAGATCAGGGCTTAAACTGGTTTATATTTTATATGAATATCCAGAATTTTCCCCCAGTGCTTGCACTTTATCTCTGGATGGCACTTAAATAATCTGCTTGAATTTCCCCTCATCCTTTCCAGATATCGACGAGTGCGCCGGGGGTCCCTGCGAGCATGGTGGCACATGCGTCGATCTAATCGGCGGCTTTCGCTGCGAGTGTCCGCCGGAGTGGCACGGCGATGTCTGCCAGGTGGATGTGAATGAGTGCGAGGCACCGCATTCCGCCGGAGTGGCGGCCAACGCCCTGCTGACCACCACTGCCACGGCGATCATCGGGAGCAATCTGAGCAGTAGTGCTTTGCTAGCTGCCCTGACCAGTGCGGTGGCCTCCACCTCCATGGCCATTGGTCCCTGCATCAATGCCCGCGAGTGCCGCAATCAGCCGGGATCCTTCGCCTGCATCTGCAAGGAGGGCTGGGGCGGAGTCACCTGCGCCGAGAACCTGGACGACTGTGTGGGCCAGTGCCGGAATGGAGCCACCTGCATTGACCTGGTCAACGACTACAAGTGCGCCTGCGCCCCGGGCTACACGGGTCGGGATTGCGAGACGGATATCGACGAGTGTGCCACGTCACCCTGCCGGAATGGCGGTGAATGTGTGGACATGGTGGGCAAGTTCAACTGCATCTGTCCACTTGGCTACTCAGGTTCTCTCTGCGAGGAGGCCAAGGAGAACTGCACTCCATCGCCCTGCCTGCAGGGCCACTGCCTCAACACCCCCGAAGGTTACTACTGCCACTGTCCTCCAGATCGCGCCGGAAAACACTGCGAGCAACTGCGTCCGCTCTGCTCCCAGCCGCCCTGCAACGGTGAGTAAAAATAGAATGGCCCAGACCTCCGAGAGGCCATGGGAACCGATCTCGCCCCGATGAAGACATCATTAAGCTCATCAATCGCAGATTGCCAGCTTTTTGTCGTCTTTCGAGGGATGCGAGATTCCTCGGGCATACACTGGGAAAATAGGTTTAGATGAAGAAGATTTGTTGAAAACTAAAAAAGGATTTCTAAAGTATACTTTAAAGGTCATAATTTAGATCCTAAAAAAGTATTATTCAAATGATTATTAATGGTAAAAGGTTAATTTTGCAATAAACTTGAATTTCTTATAATAATTATTACTGTATCTTTAAAGAATATATTTATTTTTAAAATTACTGATTCTTCCAACTTAATTGTAAATGTTATTTTGGATCACTAGATTTAATGAATGGTTTACCCTTAGAAATGGGTTTTTTTTACAGGCCATTTTTCATATTTTGGCTACCTAAGTTAAATTTCTCAAAGTGTAACCCTGCGTTAATAAGCCTAATCATGTCCCCCAATCCAACAGAGGGCTGCTTCGCGAATGTCAGCCTTGCGACAGCGGCGACATCGACGACGACAACAACCACATCGGCGACAACCACGAGGAGGATGACCAAGCCAAGCGGATTGCCCTGCAGCGGACACGGCAGCTGCGAGATGAGCGACGTGGGCACCTTCTGCAAATGCCATGTGGGCCACACCGGCACCTTCTGCGAGCACAGTGAGTAGTCCACATCCACGTCCACTGCCAAACTGCCCAAGACGGCAAACTCATTAACTTTCGCGCAGATCTCAACGAATGCTCGCCGAATCCTTGTCGAAATGGGGGAATTTGCCTTGACGGCGACGGCGACTTTACATGCGAGTGCATGTCGGGCTGGACAGGTGAGTCTCGGGATGGAATGGGCTGGGATGGTATGGGATATGATGAGATGAGTCGCGTTGAGATGAGCTCAGCTGAACTGAGGCGAACTGAGCCGCGTTTGAGTCGGGTGCGCTTTAAGCGGCCAGGCCGCCAAAGTGAACGTCAAAGCGTTGCAACAAGTGCAGACTGCGCAAGAAGTGAAAAGCCGCAGGCTAAATACCCTTGGGAATGGCTGGTTCGTTAGTGGGTACTAGTGAAAGTGGTCCTTAGAAAAGGAAAAGTTATCAAAGAAAATATACCCTAAAAGTTTAGCTTCAAAAAACCCAATCAAATATTATAAGATTTTCTTATGTAATACCTAAAAGTATATTATAATGTAGCTGACGCCACCATTTTATATTAAATTCAATCATCATACATTGAAAGTATAAAAAATTGTTTAGGCAGTTTAAAAACAGTACAAAACTATTGAAAACACCTTAAATCGAAAGGTTGATACAGGGACTTCTTTATACTTATATCAACATTTTGTTTCTACAGTTTCTTTACTTTCCTTTTAACCAAGCCTTATAAACAATAATGGTTTTAAGCCATCCCAATAAATATTTACAGCCTCACCGAGTAGTTTCCACTACTCCTTCCGTGAGGGCATAAAAACCTGCTGTAAGCCTGGCTGACTGGCGCATTATCAACGCTTGGGGGCTTTAAATGGGCGCGAGACGAGTATGAGTACGAGTACGAGTGTTGGCCACGTTAAGAGCACGTTAAGCGCTACGCTCTCACACACACGATCGAGTCGGTCGCATTTATTTGAACATTGAAAGTCGGCAGTCATTACGGCCTCAAATTGAAGCGAATGCGGCTGAGCCGCGAAGCTTTTAAAAAATATATATATCTGCGCGTTAGTCGCAGTCTTCGTAGCCGGCGAATGTACATTTGCCACATGTGGCAGCCAAATCACCCAGGGGGGCCAACCACGCGGCTAGGCCGAACCTTTGCCATGATTTATGCTTGTTTTTAATTTGCGATTTGCATATTTCACGCGTTTCGCTTTTTTGTCACAGATACAGATACAGACAGAGATAAAGAAAATGAAAATAGATTTGGCCACAGTTTAGATACAGACAGAGCCACATCGATCTATGTCGGCACACTTTTACTTTTCAATTAGTTCAAGCCAAGCCAAACGGTCATGGCAATCCTCTTTCTATGAATTACGACTCCCACACTCCCAATAACTTTGTTGCCTAAGTCTTTCGTTTCTTGGAAGTCTAGTATTGCTTGAAACGTTTTGTTTTGTAAGAGCAGCATTGGCAATTTGAATGTGTTATCACTCAGACAGTTTCTTAAACTCTTGTATTAGTAAAAGGTTCGTTGCCTAAGTCTTTTGTTTTGAGAACTATTTTTTGCAAGAAAAACTCGAGCTGGGTTGCTTTAATATTTTGTTCGAAATTAAATATATTTTTTGTGATGTGATAATATTTTTTAATTTTTCTCTGTGCAGGTAAGCGCTGCTCGGAGCGGGCCACTGGCTGTTATGCCGGTCAGTGCCAGAATGGCGGAACCTGCATGCCCGGAGCGGCGGACAAGGCTCTGCAGCCGCATTGCCGATGTGCACCCGGTTGGACGGGTCTTTTCTGCGACGAGGCCATTGACCAGTGCCGCGGACAGCCGTGCCACAATGGCGGCACCTGCGAGTCGGGAGCGGGCTGGTTCCGCTGCGTCTGCGCCCAGGGATTCTCCGGTCCGGACTGCCGCATCAATGTGAATGAGTGCTCGCCGCAGCCCTGCCAGGGAGGAGCCACCTGCATCGATGGCATTGGCGGCTACAGCTGCATCTGCCCAGCAGGACGACATGGTGTGCGATGTGAAATTTGTAAGTTCTGCTTTAATAACTAATAATAAATGATCATTAATAAAATACACTATTCCCTTTATAATATTTCTAACAATATTTTTCCTGATCTCTACTTATAGTACTTTCCGATCCCAAATCCGCTTGTATGAACGTAAGCAACACCATCTCCCCCTATACCGCCCTGAATCAAAGTCAAAACTGGTTGGACATTGCTCTAACCGGAAGAAGTGATGACGATGAGGACTGCAATGCCTGTGTCTGCGAAAATGGCACCTCCAGGTGTACGAATCTCTGGTGTGGATTGCCCAACTGCTATAAGGTGGATCCACTTTCCAAGTCCTCCAATCTCTCCGGCGTTTGCAAACAGCACGAGGTCTGTGTTCCGGCACTCAGTGAAACCTGTCTCTCGTCGCCCTGCAATGTCCGTGGAGATTGTCGAGCCCTAGAACCCTCCCGACGCGTTGCTCCACCCAGTTTACCGGCCAAGTCAAGCTGTTGGCCCAATCAGGCGGTGGTCAACGAGAACTGCGCCCGACTCACCATCCTCTTGGCCTTGGAAAGAGTGGGCAAGGGTGCCTCGGTGGAGGGACTCTGCTCCCTGGTGAGAGTCCTCCTGGCAGCCCAGCTGGTCAAGAAGCCACCAAACTCATCTCCCCAGGAGCAGGGCATGCTCATGGTGCTATGTGATCTCAAGACGAGCACCAATGACACCGTTGAATTGACTGTGGTAAGTCATCCATAAATATAGGTTTAAGGTTACTATTTCCCCAAGAAAATGTATTAATCCTAGTCTTGAGGTTATTAATATCTCCAATATTCGTTTGAAAATACATGTCAAAGACCTCATAAGTACTATTACTATACAATCATCTACAATAAATAAATAAATACAACCAAAACCTAATCCCAACTCCATTTTCTCTTTTTATACCTCCAGTCCTCCAGCAAGTTAAACGATCCCCAGTTGCCGGTGGCGGTGTACCTGCTGGGCGAACTCCTAAGCTCCCGGCAGTTGAACGGCATCCAGCGTCGCAAGGAACTGGAGCTGCAGCACGCCAAGCTGGCTGCCCTGACCTCCATTGTGGAGGTCAAGTTGGAAACGGCCCGCGTGGCCGATGGATCGGGCCACAGCCTGCTGATTGGAGTGCTGTGCGGTGTCTTTATAGTCCTGGTGGGATTCTCGGTGTTCATCAGTCTGTATTGGAAGCAGCGGCTGGCCTATCGCACCAGTTCGGGCATGAACCTGACGCCCTCGCTGGATGCACTGCGTCACGAGGAGGAGAAGTCGAATAATCTGCAGAACGAAGAGAACCTAAGGAGGTATACGAATCCGCTAAAGGGCAGTACAAGTTCCCTGAGGGCGGCCACCGGAATGGAACTCAGTCTCAATCCCGCTCCCGAATTGGCCGCCTCGGCGGCAAGTAGTTCCGCCCTGCACCGATCGCAGCCGCTATTCCCGCCCTGCGATTTCGAGCGGGAACTGGACTCCAGCACGGGATTGAAGCAGGCGCATAAGCGCAGCTCCCAGATCCTGCTGCACAAGACTCAGAACTCCGATATGCGGAAGAACACGGTGGGCTCGCTGGACAGTCCGCGGAAGGACTTTGGCAAGCGGTCGATCAACTGCAAGTCCCTGCCTCCCTCCTCCGGAGACGAGGGCTCCGATGTCCTTGCCACCACTGTGATGGTTTAGCCGTGATCTCACCAAGCAAGCAACCAATCAAGAAACCAACCAGCCGCCCACAGCCAGCTCAAAGTTCCAATTGCCACAGCACGGGCGCGATTTCCAAGTGCATTAGTAGCTTAAATTAAATTAGGTATAGGTTTATACTTAGGGGTTAACCCACAGCGAAGTGGTTCTGCTGAAAATCGATTTTTTATAACTCAAATTATGTACTCCAAAACTCCAAGTCTTTTTAGGTAAGAATTGGTACGCAAACAAATTATCTAGTTAATTCAACTTGGCCAACTTTATTTGTATACCTGATCTTATCTCAAGTCGAAAACAGTTTGAATGGTTTAAGAGTTAAGAAATACTTAATTCTTTTACTTAAAGTTCTCCATAAACATAAATCATTTCTTTTTTTGTGGTTCAAGTATTAAAAGTTTGACTTTTTAGTAAGGATTTTTTGCAGAACCAGATTGTTGTGGACACCCAAAAAATACAAGTTAGCTAGTGTAATTCCTAACTCTTCTCTTCGCTAAGCAACATCCTACACAGTGTGATATTTAGTGTAACCCAGGCGCGCATTTACAATCATTAAAAGGTAAAAAGATATATAAAAAATAAAAACTCCTTGGCTAGCACAAGCTGTATATAGTTCTCATTTAGGATCAGCGCGCTATATAAGATGTATAAGCTGTAAATACTGTAAATTAGCAGTTACCGTTATTGTATTTTGTCTATAGATAGCATCCTAGTATTAAACTAAGACCCAGCCGCAACGCGTTAGACTTTAAAAGTTGTTTGCAATTGTACGCAATAATTTAGATTTAGCATCGTAGTTAGGTAGCTGTATAACCGGGTAAGATTCAAGCGATTTTGTATTGTATTATACCTATGAGTGTAGTAATATTTATTTATTATTTTAATTTTGATCTAGAAGCAATAAAGCAATATCAATAAAGATAGTAAAAGACATAACAATATGATGGTTTTTTAGTTATGGGAGGGGGAAGAAAAAAGGTTGGTACAGTAAGTAGATATTTGTTTTTAGTTCTTTACAGCATTAAAAGTCCTATTAAAATATTTTTAAAATTCACAAAAATTTCCAAGTAATTCAGACTCTAACAGGTTCATTATTTTTCTTAAACATTAAAACATTTTTTATAAACCCTGAAACATTCTTATGGTATAAGGCAGTTATGCTGGACTTTTTTGCCATCGACATCATTTCCTGTCATTTGGACTCGTCTGGATCGAAGAGAAATATGTTCGGCTGGGATTGCGGCGATCGCATTTGAAATATGCGCTAATTGAATGTGAAAACCAAATGCAAGTTGGGCACTACAACGGATCCGAATTAGAGGATCGCGGATCGAGACTCAAATGGTGGAGCTGGCGAAACAGATCAGAAGGCCAAGAGGAAAGAAAGCGAAATCGACCAGCGAGCAATGCATTTTGCGTTGTTCGGTTTCTAATTAAAATACCAAAAAGAGCCGGTCGAAACACACTCACAAAACTAAGCTCAGCGGATGATCAAGGCCCCAAGGAGTGGATACAGATACAGATACAGATAGGTGGGGATACTGAGGAGGTGGCGGGGGTCTTTACCACAACGTGCGTAAATTTCGTCAGCGGTAAACTCGGCTCGAACAAAACGAAATGGCCGGGTTCTGGGGTGTACGAGTGTGTTGTTAATGAAGCAGAAAATGCCAGGAATTTTCGCTTGATTGTGGCTGCCTCTCCTTCTCTTATATTCGTTAATACACAGTAAAAAATAAAGCAGGTTGCCTTAGATTGTGACAGATTGGAGTCGAGTTGGATTAGTTAAGAAAAAAATGTATATCTTCCTTTATTATAAATGTTTTTAAAGCCAGTAGGAAAAAGCTTTTAAACTATTTGTTAAATTATAAGAAATAAATTATTTTTAAATTTTTAAATGACATCGTTTGGTATTTTGGGTACTTTAAGATCATACAAAATTAGAACTGCAAAATGGATTTAAATATTTATTTTGGCAACTTGTGCAACTTGAGTCCCTTGCTAGTTTTACAAACCTTTTAATATTATTTTCTGTGTACGGCGGCTCAAGTGTTTTATTTAGTTATTGAACAGTGCTATCCAAAAGGCCTGGGACTTTGGTAGCCGCCCTTTTCGGACCGCTGCAGCCGGGCGAAATTTTAGCGGCATTTTTGGCGCTTTTTTCTGTATTATTTTTCCTGCCCAGAACCTCCGCTGATGTTTCGGTGGTTGTTTCTGTTTTTTAATTAACGCGCGATACGTTTTCAACTTTGAAGGGCCAAGGAGCGCACATGATGGGCATATAACTCATTGGAATTATGGAGGAATGGAGGGAAGTCGAAGGAGGAGGAGGTGGGGCACCACCACCACCACCATCAGAGGAAACGGGCCAGCTAAAGTTGCCCGGCCAGAACAGAACGTACATAAACTTTATCCGTCTATAATCTAAATATGTTTCTCGGTTGCTCTTTGCGCCGTTGTCGTGGCTGTTGCAACAATTTGCAGCAAATTGAAAGCCAATTACGTTGTTTGCAGCATGCCAAGGCAGCGACGGTCGCTTCGCATCGGATCGGATTGGGTCGAGAAACAGCCATATAGCCACATAGCCTTATGGCCAGGGCCTCTTGGCCGGCAGACAGGCGAAATTGCGAGGCACACAGCTCTCGTAGACGACATAAATATCAAATACAGGTCCATAAATTTGAAACCAATTAGCCAACTTAAATTGATAATAGTTCGCCGCTGCTGAGGCCAAGGGGGCTTCCAGGAGCTGAGGGTACCTAGCATTTGCCTACTGGCCAAAGGAAGCTGCCACCGACGCGAAGCGAGGATCTCTTTGGCGATCGCTAATGGCACTGCCATTTGATGACATACGTCGCTCGTGTTGAGCCGCCAATTTTCGACCGACAATTGCTGGCCATATATGTAAGGCCGCAAATGCAGCAGCAGCAGCAGCAGCAGCAACTGCAACTGCCACCGCAGCAAATGCAGCGTCTCATATGTCGCATGTCGTGCCTGTCGTGTCGTTCTAATCACAATTGCTGCCTCTGCCACAGCGGCTGCGCCTTTTTATGGCGCTTTTATGCAAAACAACTTAATTTCGAGGCCCGATCCGTTTGCCACAATGCAGCGCGTAAAATATGCACTCGCAGGCTGCAGCAAGAGCAGCAGCAGGAGAAACAGCAACTGCAGCAGCAACATGGGTCGCAAAACGAAAGACTTAGACAACGAACTCGTACAAATGTTTCGTCCATTTGCCTGTGTGTCGAGCTGTTATAGAAAATTATCTGAAACTGATTTGATATATATTCAAATAGGCGCTGTGCGACACATGTTGCTGCTGTTACATGCAACATTTGCCGTATTTGTTGCACGCAGGAGCAGCAGCAGCAGCAATAGCAGCACAGAGCTCCCGGAGGAGCCAAATCCACAGCCAACTGGTAGCCAGGTTAGACTTGTCGTTGTTATTTGTATGAAATGCTGCGGATAACATCGCCAGCAGTAAACGTTTAGTTTGTGTTTTAATTAAAATATTTTCATTTCCCCTGCACCGGCGACAGGCGAAGATTGCCGCTGAGAAACACGCCGCGACTGGATCAAGATCCAGGCACATCCGCGTCTTGCTGGACAAGTGGCATTTATAAGCAGCATTATAAACTAATTTAGGTGGGGAATTGATTGGCTAATAGACCTGGGAAACGCCAGAGAGAAAGTCCAAGAAAGGGATCTAAAAAGAAAAAGTACTGGTGTTGTAGAAAGAGATATTAGTCTTAGCATGTTAATTAAAATTTAAGTTGAATATTTGCTGATATGAGACAATTAAAAAATAAATTTATAATTATTTTTAAAAGTGTAATTCGCTTTTTAAAATAATTTGTATAACTTTACTCAATCACCTGCCTTTTACCGAAACGCTTATAATCTTACCTTAACCAATAAAAATCCCGAATAGAAAATGAAAAATTCGATTCGAATGCCAGAACATTAGGAGTTAATCCCACTGGCAATTTAACCCCTCTTAGGCGGTCATTAATTGATTTACCAAAACCCCCAAAAGCCACCTTAAAAAGAAAGAGGAACCAGTGAAAAATCACTTATCTGCGGCAGAACCACGCTTTATAAATGTCAGAGGCGACATTAATGTAGCGCATTTGTCTAATTAGACAAGCGTTTTGGGCATGATACTCCGCTCTCGCTCCACGCCAAATAAATTAATCAGCTAATTGATGAGCATAAATTAGGGGCATGCAAATGAGATGGCTGAGAATCGCGGCTGATCTTGGCTTATTGATGGCCAGGCCAAATTAAATTGGGCAAATGAGCCTAGCCGGGCAATTTAGTATGTCAATGGCCGATGCTAAAGGGCCACCCACTGGGATAAAGAACAAGAAGTAGATCTCTGGCCAAATCGAAGCTTGCCAGGTGCAACGTACAACTCAATTAATAACAATTTCTCAGAACAATAAGCCAAGGCGGCGGCGGCGGCGACCGAGGTGAGTGCAATCCTTTTTGGCCAACATTTGATTATCTCACGGCCAGAGTGGCTCCTCCTGGAGTTTGGAACCTGGAGTTTTGGGGCTCGGAGCTTGTGGCTCCTGCTATCGGGTGCTGCCATCGGGGCGGCGCGGTGTTGCGGAATTAGCCATCGCCAAAGCCTTTGCCAAAGCCTTAGCCATAGCCACTCTGGGCCTGAACTTTGCCGGTGCACGAGGTCGTGGCCAAATTGCCAGGCCATGCTCGGCACCGGAATGTTTGTTGGCTTTTTGCTTTTTGTTTTAATTGAAAGCCGTACGAAATGGAAAATGGTAAATGGACTTTCAACCAACCAGCTTAGTAAATTACCCACACGAGAAGAAAATACAGCTATTAACTTGATATTAATAATCCAAATAAATTCTAAGCTTATAAGGTTAGCAAGCTCATTAATTTAGTAAGTAAAAATAAATACTATTTTTCACTTCACCTATATTAAGAAATCAAATACTCAAAGACTTAAAATAGTAAATTTTTGAACGTATATAATATTAAGTATTTTCGGAGACTTTAAGCAACAAAAAACTTAACAAAAATATTTACAGATTTATTTAATCCCTTAACTTTTCAGGAATTACATTTGTACAGAGCTTCACAAAAATGTATAAGAATTCTAGGTAAATAAATATGATAGTATATGGTATGATAATATAATATAATAGCACTTTAAACTTTTTTTCGGTGCAGCTAGCTCAATCAAAATAGTTATAATATAAAGATACATATATGTATACAGTATACTTAAACCTTATCGGGAATTCTATTTTCAAAGAGCTTAAATCTAATATTAAAATCTTCTTATGATAACATCAACTTCTTTCGGTGCACCCAGCTCAGCCAGACTATTTCTAATTTTGAGACCTGAGTGCATTGCAGGGCAGTTGGAAATTTATGGCGGGCCAGGCGGTGTCGAAAATAGCGCCAGCAACTCCGCGACAGGCGAGCGATGACGACGAAGACGATGCGAGCCCGATGTTGATAGCCACAGCTTTTCGCCGGCTGGAGTTACTTTCTAATGCTGCAGTCACAGTAAGAGCGGAGATGTGGATGTGGATGCAGTTGAGGATGAGGATGCATTGCACACGAAAGTCATAAGCGCAGCCGAGGCAATTAAGTTCGAGCGACAAGTTGCGCCGCTGGAAGCCAGGAAACTCGGCTAGGATCGGGAGGGATCTGGTGGTATCGGTGGAGACTGCGAGGAGGGGTGTGCAGCTGTTACATGTTTATGGCTCGAAACGGATCGCACGTAATGGGATTTGCGCTGAGCGACAGCGATAGCCTGTGACTGCACCGGCAACTGCAACAGGCCACATACACCATGCACCAGCCACAGCCACATCCACAGATTCAGATCCAGGGGCTGAGCTATATGGGTAGAGCCAAAGCTTCGACTCCAGCGCCTCAATAAAGCCGATCGCATTACCAATTAGGCGTGCACACTCGGCTAAACAGCCGCCTCCTTCTGGCAAGTGGAAATTGAATTAGTTGTCGCTGCATATGCGTGACTAGCTGCTGCCCGGGGCTCCATGTTCACCTCAAGGATGCACTGAAAAAAAATCTGGAGTGGCCCATTCGTTCTCCAAAAAACGGATCTAACATGTTAAGCTGGTCTTTTTATAAGATTTTTAACCTTGAGGCTAGTTTTTGTCAAAATTAATTCTTAAATTAATAAAAAAGTTATAAAATGTTAAATATATATTTTTATATTTTCGGTTTTTAAAACACAAGATCCCTTACAAACCCAAAAGAAGTACTTCTTAAGTGGATTAAATATGTTAAACTAAACCTCTTATAAATTAAATAGTTACATACATAATTAAATTCGTTTGTTAATTAGTTGATACTATACTTTATTTTTCCCAGTGCATAATCAAAAGCCCGCGAGCTAGAGAGCAGCAGTCTGGTTTGGGTTTGGGTGTCGCCGTTCGTATGTGTAAACACTTTTTACACTTTGCCACATTCCTGCGCCGCGCGCATAAATCAGGCGGTGCTCGCCTGTCAATCTGGAACTGCGCCATCGATAGCATCGGGTCCTCGTGGAGTGGAGGTGACCGGAGGAGCTTTTAGCAAGTGCCAACAGCTGGCTGGGTGTGCGCTATTCGTGGCTCCGTTTTCTGTGCCAATGCGAATTATGGCAAGTGCTTGAGGATCCTGTTTTCCAATGCTAATGCTCTTCCTCATCTTTGGTCATGTAATCCCTATCTGCATCATAGCTTATTTTTATGCAAAAAGTAGACAATATATTATTAGAAAGGAATTTTAATAAAATATATTGTTTACCAACTTTGGCATCAACAATTCTAGTTTTCTTTATACATATTTACAAAACAATGTATTTTTTAATCTTAAGGCATAGGTAAGTACAACTTCATAGTAAAACTAAAGGTAAACTAATGTTTAAAAAAGACATAAAGTAAAAGTGAACCTGACCACACATCAAACGAAACCAGCCTCAATTGGATTCCTTAATTAATCTACTGGTTCTCCACGACTTGCCCAGGTGAAGCTGAGAGCTGCCCGAAAACCAGATGCGCTCGTTGATCAGGTGCGAATGCATGTCCCCCAGGGCGGGCACCACACGGAACTGATTCCTGAAGCAGCGATGCGTGAGCACATTGGTGACGACCCACTGTCGGTGGACGGGATTATGAAAGCAAAAGGAAATGGATCGGTTTTGAGGACTTACGGCCAATTCGTGTTGACGTTGCAGTCTCCTCATGCATTCGTGCAGTTCCAGGAGCAGCTCGTAACGCTGGGCGCCGTCCTCCAGCATTCGCAGGGAAAATGCCAGGGAGTCGATCACAATCAGTTTAATCTAAAGGGACAGTTGGGATTTTTAGTGGAAGTTTTGTAAAAGATTAATTTACAGAGAAAGGGGTTTCGTATAGGAGTATGCATTGTATATAATACAATAAGAAAGTATTATATATAAGGTAAAGTTGAGATACATAGGTAGGTGCAAAGTAAAACTAACATCTGGATGATCTGTGAGATGCCGTTGACAACTGAAAACGGTAGCCATTAACTGAACCATATTGGGACACCTCACATGGTGGATTTTTTGCAGCATTTTAAGAGCCTTAAATTCTGGTACTTTGTGTTCATATTGCTTTTCCAGTTCCTGAGCTAGACCTACAATTATAACTTCCTTAAATAGATTAGCAAAATAGTTAGTCCCACCAACTCACCTCGCAATCTTTCGGGATGAAAATCCTGTCGGGAGTCTATGAACAAGGCACTTCCTTCCAATCCTCCAGCAGCCTTGGGAATTTGTACATTCAGACACAGTTGTAAACTGTTGATACAACAAATAATATTTGATATATAAATATTAGTTTATAACAAAAGAACTCACCACATTTGGGTTTTGCCGGTGCCCGAGTTTCCAATTAGCTCTACAATGTGACCCAGGGGTATGCCACCTCCGAAATGATTGTCCAGGGCTTTATTACCCGTCAGGATCTTATTCGGGTCGTTTTGTGATATGTCCCAGCAGGATTTACTGAATATATTAAGGTTTTCGTTGGACCCAGATGGACCTTTATCCATAGTTCTTGTTTACAGTGCCTTCGAAACTCAGTCAGTTTTAACGGATAGTATCTCTGACAATACCGACACTTAAAAAGTAGATTAATGTGCCATTAAAAGTTCTTAAGCTAGCTCTGTTTTAGTAAAAACATCTTTAATGGAAGACTAAAACAAAATATAATCAAAACAATCCCGCCATATGATTTAACAGTAATGTTATGAGCTAACATGCAATGTTAGTTAGTTACCTGTCAAAATCAGCTGCTGTTAAAATGCAGGGATTTTAAAGTCTGGTAACACTACGAATCATATGTTTATTGTTTACAAGTTTATTTCCTGCGACGCGATTTTATTGGACTTTAGTCATCCAAAATGTTGAATTTAAAGCACTTGGCCAGCCACGCCTACCGCCAGTACGAGCTCGTAACCTGCATCAATATGCTGGAGCCCTGGGAAAGGAAGTTGATCAGTGAGTATCGAAGTTTCCAGGCAAAGCCAATCTCTAATCCGGATTATCTCATCCGACAGATGGATTCTTCCTGATCATGCTGTCCCTGGTGATCTTCTCCAGCTTCATGTATCTACCGGACTATCTGCAGACCCTGCTGCAGTTCATAACGCCACCCACTTGGCATAGTTCTCCAGAAAATTCAGCCTATGTGGCACAGAAAATGGCACGGAGCTAAGTTCCCTCATATCTTATATGTACTTCCGGTAGAAACCCTTGCCCACACATACTCCCTATAGAAAGACAACTATGATTTAACCTTTATGATATAATTGTGATTCACCTCGACTGGTCCAAGATCTGTAAATATTTAACCGTGCCAAGAATGAAGCGTTTAACCCAATTCACCATGGTTTTTCTATATCGCAGACAGATTACAATGGCTTCCACGATTCGCAAAGCGGATGTGTTGAAGAACAGGCCAACCAGACCTCCAAGGGAAACTAAAGGATAATATTATCGTTTAAAAAATATAATACTTCCATAAAGTTTTGGAGCTTACTCAAGAAATCCAGGATAGTTTTGGTCACACGACGAACATAGCGTTGAGTGGGCAGCTCGACGAGAGCCACTCGGATTGTAGAGACATCATCTGAGGCTTCATCATCCCTAGAAATTAATAGGAGAACCTATTATATAAGCTTAGTTACTCAAAACTTAAATCACTACTTCCATTCGATTCGTTAAAAGGATGATTTTGTTATAAATGTACTTACTCATCCTCCGAGTTGTAGATAATATTGTACTCCGGCTCCTCACAGGAGCTCATGCACTCGCAGGACTTGCGCTCCGTCATGATCTTGTCCCGGATCCGGGTGAGGCAGATCAAACCGCGATAGTCGCAGGCAGCAAGGTTATTCTGACCAGGAGTGGCCATAAAGTGGCTGGTGCAGTTGCAATTTTCTAGCTGCAGGTGCACGGTACTTAGAAATATATAAACGAATACCATAAATAATATTGTAAAAAAGTTTTTGAATTGTTAAGCATTACCACTCCACCACACAACCCGAATAGCTGTAGAATTCGTAGATTCCCTGCCTTTCCGGCACATGTTCATTGCCATAGCGACATCGCCGCTGCTCCATACTCAGATCCTGGACACTCTCGTCGTTGTGCACCTCTATCACATTCAGGATCAGCTCTTTGTAGTGCCCCAATAGCACCGTCTCCCGTATCATGCCCTCGGAGAACTGGTACGGCACATCGATAGGAGCATGGACGTACAGCTGGATGTCGGCGGCGGCATGAAAATTGAGGTGTCCCGGTCCCGTCATCCGGTTATTAGTGAACTGAACATGGGACACCTTGCGGGCCTGATGTGAGTTGAAGGAGAAACACAGTCCGTATTCCGTGGGAAGAGGTAGAAATTGATCGCAACAGTCGAAAAGCTCGTTTAGGTAAGTGCAATTCACCAGTAACTGATTGCACTTGGAGCGGAACTACAAGTATTGGAGGATGGTTTTTATAACCATATACAACTAGCTATATATATTCCAACCCACCACATCCACGAGCAGGGTAAAGTTGGCAGGACACCGCATCTTGGAGCAATCCTCGCAGCTGCTGCAGACCCCTCGATAAAATACAATTTCGGAAATGAAGTCATCCATGTGCATATCGTGCTCCACGCCAAAATGAGAGTCACTCAGATCCCAAATCCTTTCAGCGTTGTAAATCTCACATACAGTGATAGCCGGAAAAGTAGAGTTCCAGTTCAAGCTAAACCATAGAAATTATTATAGGCAGGTACTTCTATTGATTTTAAGCTTACTATATCGTATCCAAGTTAAAGGAGACCGATGAGGAGAGATAGCTATGAAGCAGAGACATGGAGACGCTTGCAAAGAAGGGCAACGTATGGTAAAAGGTTACCAAGTAGAGAATCCTAAATGAAAGTAGGCTTTATAGCAGAGACCACCTCATAAACAACAACTTACATCTTTAATAAAAACCCGTTGAAGCGGCCAAAATGCATTGTGAACTATCCAGCTGAAAAGAGCAAACTGTTTGACCAAGTTTTTCTTTCGTGTCCTTTTCGGCGGCGAGCTTTCTATAACAATAGTTCTTTCGATATCCATCTTTCCATTGTTTCGTCTTTGGCCCACATTAAAATAACTACCCTATTTTATTGGCTTGGATTTAGTTCAATGTTAAAGCCAACATGAAACAGACGCGTCTAGTGATTATTTAATGGACACCATAGAAATCATTAATCATATTGTTCTTTTCAAGGGTAGATCAGAATTTCTAGCTACAGCGATGTAAGTACTTATAAAGTGACGCAGTTTAAATTCTAATTAAAAAGAGATTAATTGAAAGATGAATCGGATAATAGCTCTGAGAAATTAAGGTTTCTATTGAGAGATTTTTTTATCCGAAAGATATAAGGTCCGAAACTTAAGTGGGAACTAAGACGTCATTTATAAAACAATAACCTGTGGCTTATAGCTAAATTATTTGGATCACCCTAACTGAAATTAAACACTACGAACAACTATGAGTCAGAAATTATAAAACGGCCTATTATACATATATACAAAGCTATGAAATCCTTAAGAGTAACAATGGCAAGAACCCTATGATTACAGATATAATTAATAACAATAAAAAACAAAATAAAAAAATATTTATAATAAAAGATTAAACTAAGTCTATTGCAGGTTTTTAGTGATCCAGGGAACCATGTCGATGACGCTGGCGAAGACTCCTGGTTGATTCTGGTTCGACCTTTCTGTTTAACTCCTCGTTGGTTGTCGAATCATAAACACTGTCTGCTTTATAATAACATTTTAAACACCTTCCTAAATGGTAATCTCTATTATGACTTACGGCTGAGAACCAGATGGGGCAAAAAGCAAAACACCACTCCAAAGCCTAGAACCTCCATAATTACTAGCATTACTGATTGCTGTGATCAGTGATCTGCCATCAGAGTGGGAGGTGCTATTCTTAATAACCTGATTCAACTCCGGATACTACTGTTTATACTATTAATAAAGCACTATTAAGTTCTCTAACGTGCGCTCTGAACAGATAAACCTGGATTGAACCGGAGATCATCGTGTGCTCAGACTTTTAGATCCGATTCACGTGATCGGGAAAGCGCAAAACCAACCCAGCAATAATGATCAGTAGCCGAGCTCAATTCCATATCGGCGATACTGTGATTGTATATGGTCAATTTCATCCGGTTGGGTAATTCTAACCCTAAGTACTTAGCACTGTCACTAAAAGAGTGGATTTACTGTGGGATCTGGTTCTTGCTTATGAACAACACTATACAAGTTCTGAATCTGATGGGTTGCCTCAATAAATGCAGCAGCTAACCGCAAATTAAAGCATACCAACGAAATTACTCCTACTGCTGACTCACAGCTTTGGATAATTAAATCGGTCAAAAGGCAATATTAAAAATCGATATTAAAAAATTTTTAATGTAACGCGTAGTCTGATAGTTGCAGTTCCGTAGCTTCTGAGAGATCACGATTTTATGGAGTGATCTTTCTTTCCGAAAGATACGGAACTTAAAGATACATATGTGGTAATTAAGACGTCATCCGTTGCCTTTAAAAATATAAATTAAACTTAGATGTAATTTAAATACCTATGATTCACTAGTTTATGCACCACTGCGTTTTTCAAAACAGGCATTGTATGAATGAGAAAAATTTTAAACACTAGATTTTTTTTCTAACATGAAAAAGAGTGACTAATGTCTATGTAATTTGTGCTGAAATTTTTGTCAAATTGCATATCATTTAAATATTTTAGCAGTATACAAAAGTATGACTAACATCCGTGTATCTTTGGGTGTAAATCTAAAAGTTGATACCAAGACTTAAAGTTAGCAGACGAGCAGTATCAACAAATTTCTGTCAGCTGTAAAAAGGATTTTAATGACATTTATTTGGTACAAATCGGATGTATACTCAGAAAAAAATCGAATATTTTCGGTGTCAAGACTTCGCCAAGCATGGAAAATACAGAACTCGTGCTTTCAAGCACGAATTTTCAGACCGAAAATACTGCGGACGAATAATACTTAAAACAAAACACATTTAAATTGGGTTTTAATTACATGCCAGTTAGAGAAGTAAGTATTGGAAAAGGTATATATATACCGAGCACTTTCCAAATAAACAGCTGGAAATTGTTAGATATTTAAATCCAAAATGTGCTGAATGTGAGAACTTTTTCAGCACGAAAGTTTTTTAATGGTAAGCATGTATCGTTCTTAAATCAAGGCTGTTTGTACTTGATTTAAGCACTATGTTTTTCCCTGTGTACACACATTTTTATTTGCGTGTTAATTAGTTAGGATATTTATTTATACAACGGCTTCTATATGTTTGGGTAACTAAATATTATGTTAATTTTTTATGGACCCCGTTGGGATAATAAAACTCCCTTTGATTATTGCTGCTTATATCATATATTCAATAAATTTACAAAACTAGGGAATCATTTAGAGTAACTATGGCAAGGGGTCTTAGGAATAAGGATATAAATAAGGTGTGTCTTTGAAATCAAGAGTATCAGGTGGCTCTACTGCAGGTTCTGAGTGATCCAGGGAAGCATGTCGATCACGCTGGCGAAGATTCCCGGCTGGTTCTGGTTCAGGCCGCAGCGGCGTCCTCCGAAGGAGACCACGGCATACTGAACCACTCGGTAGGTGTTCTTGAATCGGTGCTGGAAGAACACGGGACCGCCGGAATCTCCCTGGCAGGTATGCTTGATTCCAGATCCCGTCGCGCAGATGTGGTTGTCATTCACCTCACCCTTGTTGTAGTATTGGCGGCACTCGTCCAGGTTCTTCCGGGTGACCAGGGCCTGTTGGAGCTTGGAGGAAACACTGCCTTTCTCGGTTCCACCCCATCCGGCGATGAAGAAGCTTTGGTCATAGGCCAGTTCTTGGGAGCGCTGGTCGATGGGCAGGCACACGGGTTTAATGTGAGATTTTGCCTTAACAACGCGATCCAGCTTGATGATGGCCACGTCATTACTAATCTGACCATGAACGTAGTTGGGATGCACATGTATCTTCTCTATGCCGTACTCCTCGTAAGGCGGCAGACAGACGCGGTTAATTCCTCCCAAATAGTGGCAGTCTTCCTCCGTATCCAGGTCGTGCTCGCCCAGGCGTACTGCAATTCTATAAAAGATTTACACAAATTAGTCATCAGTAAGACACCCATATGAAAGATAAATAAATTATAATGGTATCTAATTTTGTTCCAATGTCAAAGTTATTTCATCATCTTAGCAAATTGTTATCACTATTGAACTGATTTTGTTAAAGGAAGGGCTTTTATCATAAATTTACGATTATGATATAGGGAACTTACAATTCGGGCTGCGAGATGATGCAGTGGGCTGCAGTCAGGATGTGGCGCTCACTAATGAGGCTTCCGCCGCAGAGGAAGGGACGATCACCGTTGATCTTGTACTTGAGCAGTGCCACCCAGGGAAAATCGCCGGGCTTGGCGGTCTTTCCCCCGCTGACCTTGGGATTGCCTTTGTTACCGCAGTTGGTCACCGAGTTCAACAGTTGCAGACCCTGTCGATCATACCGGTCCAGGTTTCCACCATCCGATCTTACGACCTTCCTCTGGGACTCCTGGTTGGATGACGATTGCGGTGAGGCTTCATTGGGGCAACAAAGATGGAAGTCCTGTAAATTAAATTGGATTGGTTAGAACATTTTAGATACTTTCTGTTTACTCCATAAAGTATTAGTTCTGATTCTTAAAAAAATTGGAAATATTTTTTTAATCTAGATCAGAAAGTATTTTTTTGAAAGAGTTATTACCAACCAACCTTAGTATTTGTGGCGCTTCTGCATTGCATCTGACTGATTTGGTTATGAATCGTCCTCGGTATATTACGACCGTAGATCCCAATGATCTTTTGCACGAAAGGACAATCCTGGTACTTAATGCACTGACCTGAAGCTCCGTTCGGATTGGTGCAGCTGCTCTCTGTAAGTCAATTGAATTGTAAACATCTTCCTGTAGTTGAATCTCTATAATAACTTACGGCTGAGAACCAGCTGGGGCAATATGCACACGATCACTGCGAAGCTTAGAATCTCCGTAAATACCATCCTGACTGATTGTTGTAATCAGTGATCAATGTGGGAGGTTTTCCTGCTATAAGCCTAAACCTGTCTTAAGTCCGGATGCTAATGGTTTCCTTTTACAGATCTCGTTCCCGATCACGACCAAGTTCTCCAACGTGTGCGCTGAACAGATCAACTTGTAATGAACCGCAGGTCGTCGTGTGCCGAGCTTTTGTAGCTCGGATTCGCGTGCTCGGGGAAGCGCCAATCCAATCCAGACGGCATAAATGATCAATAGCTGAGCGCAATCCCAGAACGGCGATACAGGTTTTGCGGCACTTCCACAACACAACACTCGCTTACGGGGCTTGGAGCAGGAGATATAGTAGATTCAGATATTGGTAGTGTCGTGGGACTGTAATACTATACTATAGTATACTATATACTCAATTTTGTTTACTTAATAACTCTACTACCTGGTGCCAGGTACAATATGAGATAAATGGTTTATTATGAATTAATACTTTTTGTATTAAAGGATACTCTTAAATAATCAAGGCAATAAATCATTTGCACAATCAATTATTAGTAATTATTATATCCACTACCCAATCTTTAAACATAAGTGAGGTACGATCTTGGTTAGAGTTATATTACTATTACTTCTTTTCATATTCCATATATATTATTACTGATCACATTTATAATTCTGAATTATTGCGCATTCGTAAGACAATAAAGAGCATAATTGTATATTATTATTGGGACAGTGGAAAATATGTTTCACCCCTAGTGATACCGTACCGATCGATTAAAAAACGATAGTAGAGCTTAGAGCGTGGGAAAAGCGATTAAATTCCAGGAAACCCCCTAGCGAGTCGTTCGCTCTCCCATTCGCAGCTAATCTCTGTTTCTCCATATCTCTACCCCTCCAAATCTCTCAATCTCCAACTAGTCGAACTTTGATCATTTCGCGGGGACTGGCACGCGTCAATAAAGTTCAACAGGTGGGCTAAACAACCATTAGAAGCGGTACTTTTTTTCTCAATTAGTATGCTCTCCAATTCCCCGTTCACCTGGCTACGCCCATGGTACGGATCGTCGCCCGCCTGGTCGCTGGATCGAAACCCGTTCTTTGGATATGAATATGATGTGTAACATGGAATTTCCAGAACAGAAAATCCCAGCATCGCGGGTAAGATCTCTAAATGCGCCATGCGTGCAAAAAACCCCCAAAATTTGCGGTTTGCAATAAAAATCCTGCTAAGTTTAGAGCCCACGTCACTTAGGATAGGTCGGAAAATCAGGGCCCTATAAAGTTCCGTCTTTTAATAGCACAGTACTTGATTATTTTATAAGTAATCTGATGGGGGAACATAAACAATAACCTAGTCGGCTTATCTCGGTTCATTGGAGGGTCTTACAATCCGATTGAGCTCGTATATTAGCCACTTTATCGCGGTTGATTAGTGGCACAATGCCAACTTAGTACCCTCAAAGCTGTTTAGCCCCCTAGGCAACATACATCGTGATTAGTGCCACTTGATCACTCAAGAGTTTTCAGCGATTTTACTCATACGTCACAATTGCACAATAATTCTGATTGTTAATATTCATAGAAAATGTGAAATTATTAGCCGGTCTAAGCTAAGCTTAGTTTATAACCCAACGAAAGCCATTGAATAATAACAATATTTTTAATGATTCATAGATGGGAAATGAAAATTGTGGAGAAACTTCAATAATAAAGATATTACTAACATTTGTTTTGATTTTCCGATTGCTTGATTTCAAAACATGCAATAATATATTAAACATTTATTTTATACTTTATCATCTCTTCATCACCATTGAGGTGTTATTTTATTTAAACCGCATTTCCCAATAAAACCGCAAGTGTTAAATGAGTTTACAAATATGTGTATATATTATATTTTTGGGCTGGACTAAATACTAAGATACACCCTAAAAACTGCGGTCAACAGACGACTCTCCTCAGATCCCATTGGCTGCCATGGTGTCCGTGATCCACTGAACGTACTCCCCGACATTGGTATAAAGTCCGGGAAGGCTTATCTGTCCACAGGAGACCACACCCTGGCTCACGATTCCGAATTCGACCATTTTCGGGGCAAACTCGCCCAAATACTGAGCGGGAGCTTGGAGTGGACCACCGGAGTCACCTTTGCAAGAATCCTGCAGGTCACCACCACCCACACAAAGCTGGGTGAGGGGCACGGCCCTTCTGTAGGCCTGGGAACAGGCGGATCGCGGCTGCAGGGGCACATTCGCCTGGAGCAGCACATCCGATGAGGAACCATTTTCCGTGGTGCCCCATCCGGTAACAAAGTAGGTACTAATCTGCTCCGCCTTCTGCTTCAGCTCCTCCGTGATGGGCAGGCAAATGGGTTTGATGTGCTCTGTTTGGGGAGTATTAAATTATTAATGTCCTTTGAATGGGCTTAACTAAACTGGCTTACTTTGAAAGGGAACGCTTTTGTTCAAACGCAGCAAGGCAATATCATTCATGATGTGACGGTTATCGTACTTCTCATGGATCAGTTGCTTCTCAATGCCCACATCCACAACCGGCGGAGCACACTTCTTCTTGCGTCCCTGCTGCCGGCAGTCCTCATCCGTAGAGATGCGGTGCTCACCCAGGCGAATCTCGTAGCTAAGGGTAAAGAATATAATAGATCAGTTTAAGGTTATTATAAGAAAAGGGAATTCAAAATGTTAATATTAGAGAAACTTATGTAGACCAAAAACTTTTAGTTTGGATAAAATAAATACTTTGGAAGGAGTAAAAATTTAGATGGATTCACAAGAATTCTTGACCATATTTATGAATTCATATACTTACAGTTCATCCTCGAGTCCGTAGACACAATGAGCAGCAGTCAGGATATAGCCTATGGTCAAATATACATATTACAATAGTAATATTATAGGGAATATCACAGTAAGAACATACGATCGGAGATCATGGCACCGCCGCAAAGGAACTTCGACTCTCCAAACTGGTTGTAACGGAGCAGGGCCATCCAGGGTCTGGAGGAGAGCTTCACCTCGTAGCCATTGGCCACTCGTTGACTCAGGAAATTGCCGCAATCGAAGCCCTCGTCCTTGAACACGTTCATCACCTTGGAATTGTGCTGAATCTGGGCGGAAGCACAGCAAAAGTGACGCTGAAAGAGAAGGTATCATCAGTACGACTTTCTGATCAACTTTTTGTATTTCATAGAAATCTTGAATTAAACGTTTCCTGAGAATTCATTTGTTTATTGTTTGCTGTTAGTTGTAAAGTTCAGTTGTTTATTGTGAAATATATTTAATTACTTTCTTCTTTACTAAAACAAGCTCAGTAAACTGGTACTACAAGTACTAAAGTCTTAATTAATTAAATCAGTAAATTCTAACGAATGTGTTCATGTGGAAAAAGGGGATTTTTTGTTAGATTCGATTAATTTCAACCAGACGCACATTTCACAGATAATGTTGACATTGCTATTTTGTACATATTTGCATTGCTATTTTCTGAATAAAACGTTTCTGATGTAAAGAACATTTTTTTCAACTCACCACTCCATTGAACTCGCCGCAGGAGGCCTTCTGCAGGTAGCTGGCGAAGTCTGGCGGTACTTTCTGTCCGGATTTCTGGGCCTGTTGGAGCCGCTCCTCGATGTTCCGGCAGGAGGAGAAGGGCATGCACTGGCCCTGTTCGCCATCCGGTGTTTGACAGTCGTCGGCGTAGTCTGACCCATGTAATGTACATCAATATTAGCATTGCACTGAGACGGACTCCGATTCGGAGAATTCCCCTAACCTGCTCGGGCAGATTGCACACCCATCGACGACACGAGGGCAATGCCATATAAGACTGCGAGGCTGCTGCCTATCATCTCGCTGGAATCGCTGATCTGGACTGATCGGAACCTGTAGTGTGACGCGGAATTCTGGGCCAACAGACGTTTCAAGCTCGACTGGGAGATAGCAAGCTGAGAAGTTGCGTTTTATACGCCCAGTCGATGAGAGAACGCGATCGAGATTAAATCAGAGCTTAAGCCTCTCAGTTTTTTCGGGCTACCTCAATTTCTCTCCTTGTGATCCGGAATTAACAATCAACCATTTGTGGGAATATCCAAATATTATCAAACATTTGTTTATACTTCCCGAGACAATAACAAAACGATTTGATTAAAAGCGATCTAAGCTGAGATCTCTCACTCTCTTTCTCAGAAAAACTTGATCTCTCTCCTCAGAAAGCTCAGCGAACAAAGAGGCTTCTAGACCTCAAGCAAATACGGGTTATAAAGGACCCCATTAAGCAGAATAGCGAGTGTTTAACTTGTGTTTTTATTTTATTGTTTATCGCACATCATCATCATCTAGTCAGTGGTACAATGGCTAAATCGGTCCGATCGATATTTAGGGATAGGGTTTCTAGTTATTGATACATTAGCTCGACCTTGGTAACAATAAATTATAACAAAGCTGCTTAATTGCGTTAATAAATATCAGACATGGCTCAACGAAGAAAAAAACATAATCGTCACTCGAATATATCTACAGATATATGGGAACTAAACGATAGAAATCATAAAGTATTAACTTAGATAGTTGGGTAGTTGGTTAACAGCAGCGAATTAAATTGTTTTACATGTGGAATCGGTTGGATGGTTGGTTGGTTGGGTTGCTCTCACCAGTTCTCGAAGCAGTTAGCTCTGATGTCTAGCCAATTTTTCTAGGCGGTCGGTTTGCAGTAGGGGGTTCGATAATTTACATAATTTCCTCGCTCTCTGTGTGTCAACGAAAGGAACATATAGCAATAGATAAATCAATCAATTGTCGAATTTCGGGTGGGTGATTAAGCGTGAATTTGATTTGGTAAATAAGTATAGCTTTGGAGCTCGCTTGATGCCGCCGTCAGAGTTAGTAGTAGTAGACAGAGCAGATCAGTTGGGAAGCTGGGAAATGCACAGAAAATGCAGGGAGAGTAATGGCAAGCGGCGTGGGAATGGAACTGCAAAGCCAATTGGGTAGTTAAGTTACAGCAAACCATAAACATAGCACAGATTAAATACAGATAGGATAGTGGTGATAGGATAGAATAGAATACTGCGTAATTGCTTATCAGAGGCGTAGTCATCGTCACAGTCAATGTCGTCATTTGGTATCGGTATTTTGGTATCACAAAATTAATAACATGATAATTTATACAAATATAAAAACACGGCATACATACATAATACTATAAACAATTTGAAAATACACTTAAGAATTAATCCGTTGACTCCGTCGCCCATCGCAAAGGTCCTCACTCTCCCATATCGCTGACCAATGGTCTAGTGGTATTATTAACAATTGTTTCAATTATTTTTTAAGTCAACGATGTGGGAGATGCTCGAACCATACCTAAGATGCTGAAGGACGGTGCCAACGGATTGATCAACAAACATTTAAAAGAAGTGAGCACTTGAAATCTATCTAGTCTAGAGTAATCTTGTTAGTAGTCGGTTGGTTGTTTGGTTGGTTGGTTGCTTGGTGCTGATGGTGTACGCTTGGAAGTAGTAGAGTGTGTTAGATGCAAAACAGAACGGTGCCATCAATCAGTTGAACGCGTTAATGCTTTTTATTTGATGGCGGCAATGAGCGGGCTTTCTTCGCCTAGAATAAATAGAAATAAAATTAAATTTCACTTTGTTTTCCATAGAGTTTTGTGGGCACTAATTCACGAGTCTTAATGTAGGGCATCCGGGGCCAAACCCATGAAGCCGGCATGGAGCTCTCGTAGTTGAAGTTGTACAGTTGGTTCTCCAGCCACTTGCGCTTGTCCTGCGGCTCCGGATAAGTAGATGCCAAGCCTGGAGAGAATATATATTAAATAAGTCAAATATTCTTGCTAATAAAAGAGGTTTAAAGTGGTTCTTATGTTACCTCTATCGTAGGCACATTTGGTCACGCCAACGGCAATGTTCATTGACACCTCACGGATGCTCGAAAGGGGAGGGTACAGAGATCCGCGCTCAATGTCGCTGGGCTCCACGAAGTTGGCCAGCTCCTGGGCGGCGATAAGGAACATTTCGTCGGGTATGTGGTGGGTGCCTGTGCAGATCACGCCCAAGCCCACGCCGGGGAAGATATAGGCATTGTTGCCCTGGCCTGGGTAGAAGGTCTTTTCGCCGACCTGCACCGGTGGGAATGGAGAGCCGGAGGAGAAGATGACGCGAGCCTGTCATTGGAAAATATCTCATTAAAGGGAGTTTGTAATATGTGTAGATTTAATAAACTCACATCTGTGTGCTTGTAGGCATCCTCGGCGGTGCATTCCGCCTTGCTGGTGGGGTTGGACAAGGCAAACACCACGGGCCTCTCGTTGTTATCTGCCATGGTGCGCAGGATCTCAGGTGTGAAAATGCCGGCAGCGGCAGAAGCACCAATAAGCACCTGTAGGTAAGTTTGAGATTAGCAAACTATCTATAAAACAGAGCACAGTTGACACTTACACTGGGCTTGATGGTGGAGACAATCTCGGCAAGATCTGACATGGGGTTGACGTCCTTGGCATAGTGGATTTTGTGGCCATCTAGGTTGCCCACCTTGCGGCTCTTGGTCAGCAGACCGTCGATGTCCACCATGTAAATTCTGTTGTAGGCCTCCTCGAGAGGCACGCCATCTTCCACCATGGCCTTGACTGTGAGATCGGCAATACCGATGGCGGCTTCACCGGCTCCGGCGAACAGGAAGGTGTAGTCCTTGAAGGACTTGCCGGTAATACGCTTGGAGGCATAGAGTCCAGCGACGGCCACGGCGGCGGTTCCCTGGATGTCGTCGTTGAAGGTGCAGTAGGTGTTGCGGTATTTGTCCAGGAACCTAAATGCATTGTGGTTGCCAAAGTCCTCGAACTGGATCAGGGTGTTCTGGCCATAACGCTGCACCACCGCCTCCATGAACTCGTCGATGAAGTCGTCGTACTCGCGTCCAACCACTCGCTTCTGACGCAGACCAACGTACAGGGGATCCTCCAGCAGATCGATGTTGTTGGTGCCCACGTCCACCAAGATGGGCAGGCACTGGTGGGGTTTGATTCCAGCCAGAGCTGTGTACAAGGCCAGCTTGCCCACGGGAATGCCCATGCCGCAGGCTCCCAAATCTCCCAGTCCCAGGATGCGCTCGCCATCAGTCACGCAAATCGCACGCACATTGGGCTCCGGCCAGTTCTTCATCACATCGAAGATGTGTCCACGATCGTTGTAGGTGATGAAGAGTCCATGGGGACGCCTGTAGATCAGACCAAAACGCTGGCAAGCCAAACCCACTGTGGGCGTATAGACGATGGGCATCAGATCCTCGATGTTCTCCGAGAGGAAACGGAAGAACAGCCGCTCATTACGATCGTACAGATCGCTCAAGTAAAGGTACTTGTTCAGCGGCTCCGTGTAGCGGTTCACGGCGATCTTGCACAGCTGCAGCTGCTCCTCCTGGGTCTTGAAGCGAGCCGGCTGCAGTCCATGGATGCCGAGTGTCTGACGCTCCTCGAGGGTGAAGGCCAGGCCCTAGGAAAATAAATCAATATGAGTATTTGTCATATTTATTTTATTAATGTTTTTTGGAGCCTAATACATATCAGTATGATTTAGACACTATGAATTTAAAATTAATCATGATATCATATGAATTGTCTCAATTTGATATATGTATAATACAATATACAAAACTGAACTGAAATTTCAGTGGCATGCAAAATTTGTCTTATCTTTGAGTGATAAGCAAACATTTTCCCTATAAAAGCTAAACACGTTTGGAGAATCCCCTCATATCGCGATAAATATTCAAGTTCTTGTGATAAACAAATTGATTATTGATAAATTACCACTTTATCAGGGCAAGTGAACTCCCATACTGTTGGTTTTTACACTGGAATCTATCAGTTACATACATTTGAATTTTATTATAATTTTTTTGAGACATCTTAAAACCATGTTATATAATTTTTTCCGTATTTTCTTACCTTGTTAAGACGTGGATCACGGATGTGATCAATGCCGCGCACCTGAGAGGGGCAGATGATGTCGCCGACCACCTCGTGATAGTGTCGGGCGACGGGAACTGTTGCGGGTGCCACCGTAGTAATTCCTGTTGCTGAAGTACTGCATCGGCACAATTTGCCCACAGTTCCGCACAAGCTGCAAATTGCAAAAGTGCATTACGTGTGCTATTATCTATCAACAGAGCAATTGGAGCACCCCCTGGGAGCTCTTGACTTTGAGGGGGGATCGTGGATGGGCCGTCCCTCTGTCATTCTTGACATTGCCTTGGGGGCACCACCCCCTCATATACTCATATACGGAATAAGAAAAGCCATGTTCAAGGTCTACGTCAGCTGCTTTTTGTTTATCACCGCGCGGGGCACGCCAAATATAAAATGAAAAGCAAAAAATAAGGAAACTAAGCCGCATTGTTTACAGCTGTCCCCCGGAATTCAAAACGCCGGCGATAAGGGGGACGGATGGCCTGGCAACATCACGATAAAATCTACCCACAGTCGCGATTATAACGCTAGCATCAAATATCCATATCGCTAAATAGCTGAATAATGAAAAAGTTATAATATATTCGTTTTTTTTTAAGTTTTCACATTATAAAGGATCCACATATCATATATAAAAACGCCTCTAAAATAAAGTCGGTATATTCTAACGTTACCAGATATCTTCGTACTATATCTCTATAAGTACAAAAAATATTTTTTAAAAACTCAAAGATAATTTATATAAGTTCTGTTGCTAAAAGTCAAGAGCATTATCATTTATTTTGATTAGGGAAAACAAAAGTAACTTATTTAGATTGAAGGGTGTACTATTCGAAAAAAATTAGCTCTTGACCAGTTTAATCATTGAACTTGAAAATGTTATTTTGTTCCTGAAATAGAACTCGAAAAGATTAGATTACAGAGTACATTGGCCAACTACTTGTAATGAAGGGCTTACAAAAATAAATTATGGGCCTTGACAATATACCATCAATTAATTAAAAACTGTTTCTGTGTACAGTGCTCAAGGAAACCCTTATATTACACCCATCCATCAAATATCTTTTACAGATTAGCCCTATAATCTTGACCTCTGCTGTTACACGATGTGTATATTTTGCTAGCTTCCAGTTCCATTAGATGGTGCTAATTACGAGAGAGGAAAAAGCGGCGACAGAGGCGTGTGACTAATTTTACTTAGTGGTTCATTGATAGAATCATGCCCGGGGGGAGTGGAAATGGGTTGGTATCGAATTTTGGTCAAGTTGGAACCGGTTAATGACGTGCGCCGAACTGGAAACCCCATGACGAGGCCCCAGAGATCCCTTCCGAGCATTTCGGACTGATAATTATCGTTTAGGTAACGCTATCGTTCGTCAATTTTTTTCCAACTGTTTGAACGGCACTCACATGAGCCCCACGTCAAGTGCTAAACAATTTCGCATATCTGTATCTGAGCCAAATACACGGAATAAGTGCGTGTCGTAAATGCTTTCGAGTGATATTATTCTATATCGCTGAGTGTGTGCGCACGCGGCTACCACTAATTATTTTTAGGGTCCCCAAAAAGCCCTAAGAAGGTCGCTCTATAACTGGAGTCCGAAGGCAAAACCAGAAAGAGTTCATTAAACTCTTACATTTTTTATTAAGCCAAATTCTTGCTAACGCTTGGCGTTGGAAAGAGATGCAAAATAGCCGACCAGCTGAAAGCAGAACACATTTCTGATGAACTTGGCAACGAAAACGCTTACAATGGCGAAACAAAGCACACATTTGTTTGCTATACACACTAAATTTAGAATTTCGCCAGACCATCTTTCGAATATATGATATGTCCATGGAGGTGAAGGTGTTGCATATTCGCTACACAGAAAAATATGATATGGTATTATAATCGACATTTAAAAAGTCTATTTTAGAGAGTTTCAAGAAAAAGAAAGCTTTTTAAGATCACTTTTTGAATGTGTTTTGTAGAACTTTCCAAAACATGTTTTTCCCAGTGCATGTACCTATTGATTTTTCAGCTGTTTGTTGTTTTGGCAGCCAAAAAACGAAGGTAAACTCGAAAACTCTTATGCAACTGCAAGGGAAAAGTGAAAATTTTGAAAAACAGCTGTTTGCCGAATAAGAGGAAGTGCGCGAGCGGGAGGGAAGATGAAGGGTCAATGCCAGGCCATGTGCGAATATCAGTGCCTCTCGCTCGCACACAGGGAAACCCTGTGTGAATTTTTGTTTGTGTGCCAATGAAACCGAAAGCTGCGCAAGAGAAAAACGAAAAAAAGGGGGCAAAAACTAAAGAGGGGTGCATATATATACCGACGCCTTGGCGGCGATTCGTCTGATCCGAATGACTAGGTCACTGGGCTACCAGCTGGGGCAGTTCCTCGTCCCGAATCGCGAAATGTTGCATAATTCCCGCCCCCAAAATCGCGAACCCACACACGCACACATCCTGTTCGCCAAAAGTCCTTGCAAAGAAAAAAGCTTACCTGGGTCGTGAGAACATTTTTTTTACTTTATAATGGTTTTTATATAAATTGTTAGCTTATATCTCCTCCGTGTGACACTTGTCCGGGTTGCTGGGGGTAATACTTTCGGTTACGTTTGTTAACTTTGCGATGTGCCACGGTCAGCACCAACGACGATTTTCCAGGAATAAAATTGCAGCTCTACGCGCGGTTTTTAACCCTCCCCACAAATTACAAAAACAAAACTGGTGAGACCAGGCGAGGCGGAAACACCACCAAATATGAGGGACTAAAAAACGGCAGATGCGCTTAGGAGTACATGGTGCGAAGCTCCACTAATCTCTATTAAGGACTCGACCCATTTTACTTCTACATAGCTGTACGATTTTTGTACCCAATTGGTACCTTTTGTTTTCCAAGGGTCCGTTACAAAGGCGTTTTTTTTAAACAGTAAAAGAAATATGACTAAAATAACATACACAAAATTCACAACAAACATCGTAAGGCGGTTTCCCAACACATAATATGTCATAATCAGCAGAAAAGTACGTAGTTCTGGTCAAGGCAGCTTCTGAAATCTGCTGGAAATATATAAAAACTTGCAAAAAAAACATTCAGACGTATTTACCGTAACCTTCTTTTTTTGGATTTACGTTTTCAAGTGGCTTCAGCAACATTAAAAATATTTTGTACGTTGTGGCCAAACATTTCTGTGTCGTAAAATAAATTTCATTTTCGATAGCTGGTGTAATTTCCGGTCACTGCGAAATGTCATATGTATGACTATTTTAAATACTCAAATACTCCTATGAATAAAAAGTGTTTTTCAGGGAGTTCCCCTTTTTTAATTTATTTGCAAAACTTAAAAACAAAATGAACCATCGCTTGATTATCGATAGCTTCTTAGGTATTTCCCCCACTTCCAGGAATGCCCCACTCTTGGCGGCAAAAGCTGCCATCGACGAGCGGCCACACTGCAATCGAAAAAAAAACTTTGAACGGAACGCACGGACGCTCCGCTGTCGACGGAAATCGCGAAGGGCGGATGAGCTGCGCGAGTTTAATGGAATAGCTAGCAATCGAGTTGTTCGCCAGTTTCCGCTTCCGCTGCGACGCACTGCCTCCTGCAGGCTCTCAAAGGATATTCGACGCAGTTTCCGCGAGGGAAATGCAGCTCCAGTGATGAGACCGCAGAGTCACGCGTGTGAAGAGCACGAAAAGTGAGAAGAAAACGAAATAAGCGAGAGGAGAAGCGAAAAAAAACAACAAAGGCAACGGGCAACAAGAGGCATTTAAACGAAATCCGCAAAAAGTGTTAAAATCAGTAATGTGCATTTAGCAGTTTGCCAAAAACAAATTGCATTGCTTCTTTGTTTTGTTTGGTTTGCCTCGCACGCGCCCGTGTGTTGGTGCGAGAGTGCGCCAGTGTGAGTGTGTTTGTGTGTGAGAGCAAGGACAACAAGAAACGCGTGGAAATAGGAGGAGGAGGAGAAGGAGAAGAGGAAAAGCAACAACTGTGGAGCTGCAGCTGGAAAAAAACACTCTCCTGCGATGGACACGTTTCGCAAATGGCTGAACAAACCCAAGGTACAGTTGTTGTTTTATTTTCGCATAAATTATAAACGATAACCCGATTAGTAGTGCCTCCTTATCACTGAAAAACAATGAAAAACAAAAGAGAGTGGAGTAGAGCGTAATTAATTAGAAGAGCGGGGTGAGGTGTGGAGCGGAGAGGGAGAGCAACAAATGGTGTCAAAGCAACGGTGCATGTGTGTGTGTGTGTGTTAACTGTGCCGTTGTGACGTCAGCGTTTGGCCCTGGCTCATTATAAAGCTAGCCCCCTCTCTCTCGCACTCTCCCAGCCAGCTGGGTTTTAACCGCATTTCATTTCCGATGATTAATTCGAATTCGCTGACGTTGCAACAACTGCATCTCAGTTTTTTGCACAATATACGGTGTGTGTGTGTGAACCGCACTCTCGATTCAAATTGGAAACACTCACAGCCACACGTACTCAAAAGTAACAACAAAAACAAATATGGCGCCAGTCCGTTCGTGTTGCAAATTACAAGCAAAAGCAGCTAAGGCTAAAGCCAACTAATTTATGTATCTGCGCCTGGTAATTTGGGATCTGTTCTGTTCCGCTCTTGGGGGGGAAATCCCGCGCTATTGCCTAGTGGAAAATCACTCAAGAACACTGAGAAAACAATGTCAAAGCTCCAGCGATTGGAGGGAGTCTATTTTTAGACCACCTCATTCAAGCAATTCCAATCTACAGTCAATGTTCTTACAAGCGGATCTAAAAACCTATTTCTCACTCTTAAAAACTTAATAGACATCATAGGGCATTTATTATTACCCAATAGTTGAAGAAAGCTCCCTGAAAATGAGATATTTTTGAGGTATGTTGTCTCAAGATAGTAAAATAAAGTTAAAGTAAGCACCTTAGATGTGAAAAAAGTTCCATCAAATCATATTTTATAACATAAGGTCAGATGATACCATTGTCTTTTCATTATTTCAACAAATTTGACAAGGAGTACCTTTCTTACGTATCCCTTTTCAAAGGTGTTAGCTGAAAGGTCATAATCACATGAAACCTGAGTTTTAAGGAAGGTAATGGTCCCCGCTACCGAAGTTTGCCTGTGTCTATTTAAGAGCCCACTTACTTTTGGGTGTCTGGAATATATGCACGGTAAATGTGAGCCGCTAGACCCTAGCCTCCAAAAATAAATCGCCGATGGAGCGAGTTTCGTGCCCCTCTTCCAATTTTCCTCCCGATCGGTCGTCAATCAGTCAATCCGTTTGACATTTTGATTGCCGTCGCCAGATTTCTATTTATACGGAGTGTTCGGTTCAAGAGTAGGGAAAATGGAATTAGAAGCAATTTACACGCAAATCCATTAAATCAAAGGCAAACACCCTATATGGCTATGGCTATATGGATACATTGTTTGTTTGTGCGACCTCGGCTACCTGGTGTGTGGAGGTCAGTGTCGAGACTTTTGTCGGATATTACGATTACGGGGGATCCGCAAGGGGAATCGAATCAAATGGCAAACAGATGTCTGGTCCGTGGGCAGAAGGGCCTCGGATGTTTATGTTTTCCAGTGCTCAATGGCTGGGAAGAGCCCGCCGGGCACATAGACTGTATTGTTGTCAGTACTTGTATCTGTATCTGGCACTTCGATTAGATAAGATTGCGCCGAGTGGAGGAGTGAGTGGGGATTTGCCTGCGCATCACGTTCAATAGCAGGTGATCGAAGAGGCTTGGTATTTATCGATTAAAGGGTGGAAAGTATCGTTTAAATCACAGTTTGAAGTATTGGCATACAGTAAAATTCCATTTATAATCCATATTCAGTGTCATTACTTGCAAATAACTTAGTGTAGCAGTGGGAAAATCTAGTTTAATGTTGCAGATTTTTATTGAAAACTAATAGCCAGTCAAATTTAAGGTATAAATTTATGATTCAACACTAAAAATTTAAAAACAATTACTAAACATGCACTGTATTTTTGTTATATTAGCAGAAACAAATAATGAGGTTTTGTATTTCCTCAATTTGGAAATAACTCTTTGGCCATAAATAATTGAAAACAACGTTCAGACTTCACTGCTTGATTTATTACGCTCTAAATGCATTCGGAAATTCCAATTGGCTCTGCAAAAGTGATCAAAGCAAAATGGAAATACGGTTTTCTTTGGTTTACTTTCCGGATGCCGAGTAGTTAGTTGCTCTCTACTTTGCTTTGCTAATTAACACACTTCCCCGCATCGACCATGAGCCACCCACCACCCACCGCCCCACCCACCATGGAACTCATAAATAACGGTTAGTTTTCCTTATTTTCTTGGTGGTGGAAAACGCCTTCCAAACGAAACGGAAAATCCACACAGACGTCTAAAGTTTCTGCTTTTCTTTCGTATTTTTTATTTTGTGTGAGTGTGCAACAACTCTTTCGTCTGGCATCTCAACATCACTGCTCTTCTTTTTCATTCATTGACTGCACACAATTTTTCCGCAGTTGCTTCCTGGTCTTCTCTTTTCTTTTCTTTATTTTCTCGTCTCGTCTTTGTGATTGTGTCAACTTTCTTTCTCCTGCAAAGTGAGATTCTTTAGCCGAGGTCGCTTTTGTTGCGATTCGAAAATAAACAGAAACAGCAGGGCCACAGCGTTGCCAGACGTGTTGCAAGGCATTGCCATATCGCATTGCATAATACGAGATTGCTTTGCTTTGTGGTGTGTCAACCCTGTCCGCCGCATTCTGTTGCAGAAACAACTAATGAACACCACACAGAATGAGTAATTGAAGGTGATTTTATCACATAGAAGGTTTCGGTGCGCTAGGAATACTATCAAGCAAATAACAGCATTAAAGATGAAATATGTTTATGTGGCATTGCCATATAAAGATAAATAATTCCAGGTTGCTTTGCTTAGTGGAGTGACAACCCTACCCCTTGCCTTTTATTGCAGGAAAACCTACTATAATTTTAAAGTTTCTTTACAATTTAAAATATATTAAGAAGACAAATACCTGAAAACTCAAAGTTGAGAGTTCTCTGAACCCCTTATTATAAAAAGCTCTGCTTAAGTATGCGCTTCCCAGTAAAGTATCCTACTTTTAGAAAGGGTATAGCAGTGAATGCAATTGTTTTTGCTCCGTCTGTGCATATAAATTTTCATAAAAACGAAACCGACGACGCGGTGAAGGCAGACAAAAGGCGCGGAGAAACCGAGACAATGGAGGCTGGGAAAGAGGCGACTGCCCCGAAACCCAGATCCCAAAAAACGCGATCGGATCCGCAGTCAATGGAACTGCCAACTGGCAAACTGGGGTCCACTGAATCACTGAAAGAAGGAGGCACGCGCCACAGGCGTCTGTAATTGATTATCTCTGATATAGCGGACTCCCGATCTGTGGGCCCAAAACCAATAGCATTACATCACTCTGCCATTTTTAATTTGCTTGCATAAATACAATATATGTAAATTCCCATCTAAACTCGTACACCACATATATAGGAAGTATTGTTCAGACGATAAAGCGAACACTTTTATAAATTTTTTTTCATAGCCTGCCATTAGATACTTGATTATAAATGTTTGGCGATGAATGAATAATATATACGTAAGCATGTATAATGATATAAAGCAAAAATAGTGGGTGCGGGCTGAGATCGTGTCTGCTAGTGTCTGCCAGTTGATCAGCATTATTGAGCACATGGCTCAGATTCAGATTCGTATTGGTAGTCAGATTGCGATGGGTGTTGAGTCTTCCCAGTGCTGAAACAAAGGCATTAAAAGGTTCTCTTATTTTTCTAACAAAGCCTGAGTAATTCTTGGGCTTGGATTTTTTTGATTTCATGTTTGCCAAACGATATCTCTCATATGTCTTGCTTTGTGCGCTTGCCATTAACTCATTTGAAGTTGGCATTGAATTGTTTTACGGGCCGAATCGCCAAGAAACAAAAGTAAACCATAAAAAAGTGAAATCCATGGGTGGCTGGCAATGTCTGTTTTTTTTAATCGTTGATGGTTTGGCTTTTTGTTTCGTTTCTACAATTATTTTCGGTTGTTTCTCAAATATACTTCTCTCTCGAAGTCTCGATCTCCCCCGGTTTTTGGAGCATGTTGCAAAGGTGTGCAATTAAAGACTGTTGCGTCGTCAGCACGAAATCGGCCATTAACACAATAAACTCTGGAAGTCTGACTTGTGGCTTCCAAAAAATTAAAAAAAAAATACAACAAAAATTATCCACAAAACAATTAAGCATGAGCTGGCAAAATGGAAATTACAACAATAAAGTCGTTTAACAATTGAGCCTAAGAAAGTCATGACTGGACGATAGTAACTAGCTGAATGAACCGAGGGAAACGAGGGGAATCATATCTACTCTTCAGCCAGCTTGATAAAATTCACTTATTTACGCTTTCTTAACTCAAAACTTGTAAAAAACTAAAGAGACAAGAGCGAAAAGTATATACTTTTCTGACAAACGTGAAGGAAAAGCCAGCCCTCTCGTTAATGGCAACCGATTATAATCCTCATTTCTGTTTCAATGATGCGGATACAGTGCGTTTCGCAATCCTAACCACATTGTGAAACGACCTTACAAGTAAATAATTACGATAAATACAAAGATAAACACCAAGGAAACCTGTTCAGGGAGAGCCATTATTAACCAAAATGTTGGAAGCAATATATTTACTTGGTTTTTGTTTCTAAAGTGGTTAATTTTATATGATATAACAAAAGTTACAAGTTACAATCATTAATCAGCGAGGGAAATACCACATATTGTACCTTTTCCCCAGTTTATTCTTTCAATTTGCCCCATTTAATGCAATCCCTGCCATATTTGTTAACACCATTTACCGCTTTACTGTTCTGAAACCCACTGCACAATATATTACACCGCTTGTACAAATAAAGTAACTGCCTCAAGCTCATTTTCACCATCTGTGCGCCATGAATGGACTCGATGCGTATACGACCCGTTGGACAAGACCACTACGATGGCAGATTTAATGCAGTGCAACAATGTAGTTGTAACACGGCACTCGTTCCAGTATCTGTAT